GCATCCCTTCATGATAAAGGCCATGGAGAGAGCAGGGATAAAGGAACATACCTAAACATAATTAAGGCAATATACAGCAAGCCAACAAACAACATCAAACTAAATGGAAAGAAACTCCCAGTGATTCTTCTGAAATAAGGAACAAGACAAGGTTGTCCACTCTCTCCATACCTATTCAATATAGTTCTTGAGGTCCTAGCTAGAACAATAGGACACCAAAGGGAGATTAAGGGGATACAAATGGAAAAAGAAGAAGTCAAACTCTCACTGTTTGCTGATGATATGATAGTTTACATAAGTGATCCCAAAAATTCTACCAAGGAACTTCTACAACTCATAAACACTTTTAGCAATGTAGCAGGATACAAGATTAACTAAAAAAAAATCAGTAGCCCTCCTGTACACAGATGATAAAAAGACTGGGGAAGAAATCAGAGAATCAACACCCTTCACAATAGTCACAAATAGCATAAAATATCTCAGAGTAACTCTAACCAAACAAGGGGATGACTTGTATGACAAGAACTTTAAATCTTTGAAGAAAGAAATTGAAGAAGACACCAGAAAGTGGAAAGACCCCTCATGCTCTTGGGTAGGAAGAATTAATATAGTAAGAATGACAATCTTAGGCTGGAGAGATGGCTCAGTGGTTAAGAGCATTGCCTGCTCTTCCAAAGGTCCTGAGTTCAATTCCCAGCAACCACATGGTGGCTCACAACCATCTGTAATGAGGTCTGGTGCCTTCTCCTGGCCTGCAGGCATGCATAGAGACAGAACATTGTATACATAATAAATAAATAAATATTAAAAAAATAACGACAATCTTACTGAAAGCAATCTGCAGATTCAACGCAATGTCCATCAAAATCCCAGAAAAAGTCTTCAAAGACATCGAAAGAACGGTACTCAACTTCCTTTGGAAAAGCAAAAAAAAAAAAAAAAAAAAAAAAAAAAAAAACCCAGGATAGCAAAAACAATCCTGTGTAATAAAAGAACTTCTGGGGGCTGGAGAGATGGCTCAGTGGTTAAGAGCACTGACTGCTCTTTCAGAGGACCTGGGTTAAATTCCCAGTACCCACATGGCAACTCACAACTGTCTAAAGATCCAGTTGCAAGGGATCTGACACCTTCACACCAATGCACATAAAATAAAGTTAAATAAACCATAAAAAATATTTAAAAAAAAACTTCTGGAGGCATCACAATTTCTGACTGCAAACTCTACTATAGAACTATAGTACTGAAAACAGCCTGGTATTGGCATAAGAACAGACAGGAGGACCAATGGAACTGAATAGAAGACCCGGATATCAATCCACACATCTTCAAATAGCTGATCTTTAATAAAGAAGCAAGGGGCTGGAGAGATGGCTCAGAGGTTAAGGGCACTGATTGCTCTTCCAGAGGTCCTGAGTTCAATTCCCAGCAACCACATGGTGGCTCACAACCATCTGTACTGAGATCCAGCGCCCTCCTTTGGCATGCGGGCATACATCGAGGCAGAATGTTGTATACATAATAAATAAATAAATCTTAAAAAAAGAAGCAAAAAATATCAAATGGAAAAAAGAAATCATATTTAACAAGTGATGCTGGCATAACTGGATATCAACATGTAGAAAAATGAAAATAGACCCATATCTATCACCATGCATAAAACTCAAGTCCAAATGGATCAAAGACCTCAACATAAAGCCAGCTACACTGAACCTTATAGAAGAGGAAGTGGGAAATACACTTGAACGCATTGGCACTGGAGACCACTTCCTAAATATAATCCCAGCAACACAGACACTAAGAGGAACAATTAATAAATGGGACCTCCTGAAACTGAAAACTTCTGTAAAGCAAAGGGCACCGTCAACAAGACAAAACGACAGCCTACAGAATGGGAAAAGATCTTCACTAACCCCACATCAGACAGAGGTCTGATCTCCAAAATATACAAAGAACTCAAGAAATTGGACACCAAACCATCACATAATCCAATAAAAAGAAATGGAGTACAGACCTAAACAGAAAACTGTCAATAGAGGAATCTAAAATGGCTGAAAGACACTTAAGGAGATGTTCAACATCCTTATTCATCAGAGAAATGCAAATCAAAACAACTCTGAGATTCCATCTTACACCTGTAAGAATCGCCAAGATCAAAAACGCTGATGACAACTTATGCTGGAGAGGTTGTGGGGAAAAGAGAACACTTCTGCATTGCTGGTGGGAATGCAAGCTGGTACAACCCCTTTGGATGTCAGTGTGCTGATTTCTCAGAAAATGAGGAAATATCCTTCCTCAAGACCCAGTAATAGGGGGCTGGAGCGATGGCTCAGTGGTTAAGAGCACTGGCTGCTCTTCCAGAGGTCCTGAGTTCGATTCCCAGCAACCACATGGTGGCTGACAACCATCTGTACTGAGATCTGGTGCCCTCCTCTGGCGTGCAGTCATACATGGAGACAGAATGTTGTATACATAATAAATAAATAAATAAAAAAGACCCAGCAATACCACTTTTGGGTATATATCCAAAGGATGCTCAATCGTGCCACAAGGACATGTGCTCTACTATGTTCATAGCAGCTCTGTTTGTCATAGCCAGAACCTGGAAACAACCTAAATGTCCCTCGATGGAAGAATAGATAAGGAAAATGTGGTACATTTACAAAATGGAGTACTACACAGCAGAAAAAAATAATGACAGCTTGAATTTTGCAGGAAAATGGATGGAGCTAGAAAAGATTATTTTGAGTGAGGTAACCCAGACACAGAAAGACAATTATCACATGTACTCATTCATAGCTGGTTTTTAAACATAAAGCAAAGAAAGCCAGCCTACAAACCACAATCCCAGAGAACTTAGACAACAATGAGGACACTAAGAGAGACTTACATAGATCTAATCTACATTGGAAGTAGAAAGTAGAGAAAGACAAGATCTCCTGAGTAAATTGGGAGCATTGGGACCTTGGGGGAGGGTTGAAGGAGGCAGGGGAGAGGCAGCGATGGGAGCAGAGAAAAATGTAGAGCTCAATAAATATCAATAAAAAAATAATTTAAAAAGGCAACTATTCATCTCAAATATTTTACAATTGAGTGGATTTTTGTATGTTGATGCAAATTTAAGGTTATTTTCGTTACACTGAATATATGTTTCTAAGGTATTGTATGTATGCAGCTCATTTAAAAATGTAATATAAAATTCTAGTCCTTGAGGGCTGGAGAGATGGCTCAGAGGTTAAGAGCACTGATTGCTCTTCCAGAGGTCCTGAGTTCAATTCCCAGCAACCACATGGTGGCTCACAACCATCTATAATGAGATCTGGTGCCCTCTTCTGGCATACAAACATACATTGCAGGAATGTTGTATACATAATAAATAAATAAATCTTTAAAAAAAGAATTCAGAATTCTTGGAATTCAGAATTTAATACTGAGGCATTCCAATGGCCTCTCACTGAGGGATTCTAGGTGGGGCTCCTCCCTGACCACGCCCCCAGCCCCTCACTGGGGGATTCTAGGTGGGGGGGGCTCCACCCTGACCACGCCCCCAGCTCTGTTTTACATTTAATTCACCAGGGTCTTGCTAATTGTCCTTGCATACTGAACTCATCCTGTGCTCTAGTTGGCCTCAAGGCATGGCAATCCTACTCTCTAAGACTCCCATCATGCTCAGCTAAACAGTTACTTTGAGGACACAGTGGGCGACTCAAACTCCAGCCGAGGCTCCTTCACCATGCAGGGAACACCACACCCCATCCCGTCCATCTTAGAACCCCAAACGTTATAATCTATCCGAGCACCAAAGGGGAGATTTGGTCCTCAGCCAAGCGTTTGAGGCCTAAGGTGATGCTGCTGGCACGAACCTGTGCAGTACAGTGACCTCTGGAGGGGCCAGCACGGGGTCCTTGGAACATGGAGACCTGTAGTTGGCATTTTCTTTGGGCTGGCAATCAGTTCCCAAATAAAGACACAGAGACTTAAAAAAAAAAAAAGAAAAGAAAAGCCGGGTGGTGGTGGCGCACGCCTTTAATCCCAGCACTTGGGAGGCAGAGGCAGGCGGATCTCTGTGAGTTCGAGGCCAGCCTGCTCTACAAGAGCTAGTTCCAGGACAGGAACCAAAAGCTACGGAGAAACCCTGTCTCGAAAATCCAAAAAATAAAAAATAAAAAAATAATAAAAAAAATTCTGAATTCCAGTCCAAGAACTACACAGCACTGAGGAGGGGAGATCTGAAGGAAGGCGCACACGGGGGCATGTCACCATGACATGGGCACACAATTAGGTCTGCTTCTACAAGCAGGCCACACCAAGGACCTTGGCGGTCAATGCTGACAAGTGTCTGCTGGAGAATTCTTCCTTGGCCCCAGGAGCCCGTCATCCCTACAACTTGGCCTAATCATAAGGTCTGTCTCCACAACTGAGGCTTTCCTGGAACTTCCGGCAATCCCCCTGCCTCTTGGACTCCTGACATATCCAGACACAAATTTAAATACGTATTTTTCTAAGTGAAAAGGTTTGTGTACGGCATGTGCAAGTACAAAGAGCAGCGCCCTCAAGTGTTTCCTCAGTCCCCCTCCACCTCGTTCCCTGACCCTGACGATCACTGATGAAGGCAGCCCAGGGAGCAGAGAGTACCAGGCATCCTCCTTTGCAGTATTAAAGTTGCAAACGACTCCACCATGTCTGATATCCTCCCCCACCCTAAGGTTCTGGGATCTGAACTCAGGTCCTTAGAGCAGAACGGCAAGTGCGCTACCTACTGAGCCATCCCCCAGTTTCAGCCAACCAGCTTGTTAGTTCTTCGGGTTTAGAGGCACAGAGACATCGGGAAACTGGCTAAAGGACACACAGTAAGACCCGCACAGTCTTCATGTGGGTGTTCTCTTACCCCTTTGAGCCTCGCACGACAGCCCCCTGCTAGACGCCCCACCCTGCATGCAACCTCGGACAACCATCTGCACCCTGAAAACAAACTCGCATTTCTGTGCACTCTGTAAGCTTACAGGAGGAGTCTTCCGCGGCGCCGTCCAGCAGCCCCACCCCTGTGTCTTCAGGAAGAGGTCTGTGGAAACCCCAGGAACCACGCAGCAGGAGGAATGCAGATGGCAGGTTCAGTCAAGGGGGTTGAGAGAAAAGAAGAAAAATAAAATGCCATCAGATCAAGACAGTGATGCCTCTACTCAACTCTCCCTTGAAAAGGATGGTTCAGGAATATAGAAAGATACCTTTCAGAAGAGCCACGCCCCCAGACCTCACTGGGAATTCTAGGCGGGGCTCCACCCTGACCACGCCCCCAGCCCCTCAGTGGGAATTCTAGGTGGGGCTCCACCCTGACCTCGTCCCTCATTTTCCTTTTGATACAGGGTCTTGTTCTGCACCCCAGGTTGACCAGAACTCATTGTCCAGAATCCTCTGTGGGAGCTGGGCTGCAGCTGCGAGGCCAGGTTATCACTCCCAGCCTGGCTACAGGAATTCACTGTCTGGGAGTCTTGAAGGAAGAGGTTCCAGAAGGCTCTGCCACCACCAGCATCTGTGGAAGCGCCGGGAGTCGTGAGTCCCAATAACGGGGACGCTAGCGCCCTCACCTGGGCAGATCCTCGTCCTGCCATTCATCCCTCACATCCACGTTTTCCATCCTCAGCGTGGCTTCCGTGGTCCCCATGGGAGCTGGAAAGAGAGGGTGGCTGGAAGCTTGGCTGACCTCAGAAGAGGATCTGAGGAAAAAAAGACAGAGTAATCTAGACAGCAATGGCTACAGACACCACCTATGACACCGGTCTGCCTGTATGACCGAGCCATTCCACGGCAGGAGGACACACAAGGGGCTTAGGACGCCCGGGCCTGCGCATTAACTCAGGTAAGGAGTTGAGCCCCAGACACAGACCCCCTCCGCTGAGATCTCTCAAGCCCACCTTCTCTAGAGCAGCCCTGGAACCAAGCTGACCCAATCTCCTTCCTTTTCCTCACATCTCAACTGTGGTGGAAAAAGAAAGAAAGAGAGAGAGAGAGAGAGAGAGAGAGAGAGAGAGAGAAAGAAAGAAAAGTGCAGGCGTTTTTGTACGAATGCGTATCAGGACTAACGATCCGCGTTGTGATAGTCACTTCCAGAGAGGACTGCTCTCTCACTTGCTTCTACCTGCTCCAGTCCACCCCACTTCCAGTCCTGGGCTGCTGAAAGGGCAGCTTCCACCAAGCCGGAAGGACCCACAAAGTGGAAGAGACAACCAGGGGTTCAGCGTGTGTCCTGACCGCCATACTTCATCTGCAAATGGGTTGAAGAAGTCATGGCCTCTCGGGGTGTCCTCCGAGTCTATCACCCCTGGTTCCCTCACTCCATAAAAACCAGTTGTTTATGTATTCGCAGGTATGTATATGCCAATAGAGATCAGAGGTCATTCTCTATACTTGAAGCTTAGCACAGAGCCCGGGACCCCAATCTCTGCCTCCGCAGGTATGGGATTACTTTTTTGTCCTCCAACTTTATTGTGTGTGTGTGTGTGTGTGTGTGTGTGTTTTGCTTGCCTGTATGTCTGGGGTCAGGCTGTGATTACAGGCGCGCACGTGCGTGCGTGCATGCGTATGTGCGAAGAGGTAAGGCTCTGTCTGGATAACCCTGGCTCTCCTGGAACGCACGTAGTTCCACCTCAGCCTCCAAGAGCTGGGGTTTAAGGTGTGTGCCACCTTGCCCAACTTTGGTCACTTGTTCTGCCTGTGTGTGGGGTGTGTGCACAGTATGCGGAGTTCCAGGGAGCATAGTCGGCATGGCAACAGCTCCGGGTTCCCAGATGCCACCGCACTAGGCTTTTCTGCCAGTGCCGGGAATCAAGCTTGGCCAGCAGTTACCATCCTGCGCTCCATCCGGGTGCTGTGTGGACTCCCCAGACTGTCTGATGGATGGACGCGCTTTGTGTTAGAGGCCAGTGTTGCGATACACACCCCCCACACACAACTTAAGGACGCCCCCCATACCAAACTTCGGCACCCACAGGGCCACATCTGTGAAATCATGGTCCCCCTCTTTTTTTTAATCTTAACAACAAGATTCCAGGGTCCGGTCACGGGAGGCCATCTCTAATCTGTTCCCTGATCCGGAGACAAGGGCCACTTGCCGGTCCCAGCTGTCAGTGACCACCAGGCCATCTGCAGCTGCTGACCGGGGTGTGTCTCCCGCAGCCCAGCCCGCGGTGGGCCTGCAGGTGTGAGCCGAGGGGAGGCGGGCCTACTGGAATGTCATCACCCATTCATGGAGGAGCGACACACATAGTGCGGGAGAAAACACGACTCCCCCTGTGTGTTCCAGGCCTCTCCCAGCGCAGCTGAGTCCAGTCCATTGTGTCTGTGCAGAGAGGGACACCGGTCCCTCTTGCCAAGCCAAGCTGGGTGGAAAGGGGAAGGACCCCTTCTACACACTTCCAAACACAGGGTGTGGTGGGTCTCCTGGGCGCTGGCGACAGCGGAGGACCAGAAATCCCTGGCAACTCCAGAAAGACAGTGCAGGTCCTTCCCTGGCCGTATAGCTACTGCTAAAAATCTGTCCTTTTCAATGTATATGCAATTTTGATGTCTCTATCCCCGCAGTCAGGGTTATAAATAGAAAACACCCGACACCGCATGGGAGGTTTACCGCCCCCAGGATGCTCCGGTTCGGAGCTGGGGTTTTAATCCTTGGGGCTCTTCATTCTCCACCTAGGATCAAGCCCCGGCTGTTCGCCCCATCGCAGCAGCCATTCCGGGAGCCGCCAGCGTCTCCCGGATAAACCTTTCCCCCAGCTGGGGTGCGAGCAGGGGGGAAAAAGACAGTTTACACTGCCAGAGTGCTAAAGGCCCACTCACCTCGGCGGCGGCCCCGCGCCCTCACTGAGACACAAAGGCGGGTTGGGTGCGGATGCAGGCAGGCATCTCGCGGGTGGTACCCAGGCTGGGGCCTGGCGGAAGGATGCTCAGGGGCAGGTCCACATCCAAGGAAGGTCACCCAGGGCGACGTGGCCAGCGGCACCCCAGCTCCCCGACCCCGCTGGAGAAGGGGGTGCCCGGGTCAGTAGCAGCACCCCTTCCCCCCTACGGTCTCCGTGTCCCCCGCCATCGCAGCCCAGGGCCTGCGCGGCTTTGGCTCTCCCCCTTCCCGGATGACAGAAGCTCTGCCTGCCCCCAGATAGTGAAGGAAGCTGCTTTTGTGTGCAGGGGGCGGGCCCAGGCCTGATAGACAGTTCCAACCCCCCTGCTCGCATCCTCCTCTCCCGATTGGCTGAGGGAAAAGCATATCTCCCAGCCATGTCCTGAGCAGGTGCAAAAAAAAAAAAAAAAAATCCTCGGAAATGGTGCGTCGCACTTATGCAAAATCACAACAAGAGAGAAAATAAATAAATGAACAAACAGCCGTGGCCTGGTTCCTTCCTTACGGGGGTGGGGGCGGGGAGCCTGCGGGGTTCTTTGGTTGCGGGGGCTGGGGGAGGCGCCCTTGAAACCATCTTTGAGGGCATAGAAATGGAGGTTTTCAGATTCCCCTTCAGGGATAAGCCAGGATGAAGCTGGGTTTTGGGGTGCCGCGGACCTAGCTGGTTGTTTTAGATGGTGTGGGTCTGTGTTGCCGCGGGAGCTGCGCCCCCTGCAGGTTTCCAGAGGAATTCTAGTTGCTGAGGGAAGACTAGAGTTTGCATCCTGGACTCAACTGCTGAGTGCGCTGAGGCAGGGGATTGCAGCTCGAGGTCAGGCAGGACTACAGAGTGAGGCTAAGGTCAGCCTGAGCGAGACCCCATCTCAGAAGTGAGAAGAGGGGTTCGTGGGGATGGCTCAGTGGGTAAAGCGCTTGCTCTGCAAGCGTGAGGAGAAATAGCAGGGGCCAGGATGCCAGCGTAACTGTGTACTTGCAGAAGGAGCCTGGGGAGAACCATTGGGGAAGACGCGTGACGTCAGCGGCTGTTTTCCGCACGCGCATCGGCACACAGCCCGCCCCACTAAAATGTAAAGAGGACTGGGGGCGTGGTCAGGGTGCAGCCCCGCCTGGAATCCCCAGTGAGAGGCAGAGATCCTGGGAAGATGGAGGCTAAACTGATGATGGTTTCATGAGAACTGTCAATAGTTTCCAGAAGGTAAAGAGCCACAGGGACGGATCCTCCCTGAGTCTATAAAGAGCCGATCCTGCCCAGACTTTGGTCCCCAAAAGTATGAGAGAATACATGCTTGGGGTTTAAGACCCCCACCCCGTCAATCTGTTGTACTTCTTTTATCCTCCATGACCCTCATAGACCTCCGAGGCTCTTCCCTGCATCCTATGAGAATGTTAAGTTCCTCCTACCACAGCCCCTTTGCCCGCGCTCTCGGATTTCCGACTTTCTGTAACTGACATGTGAGGGCGGATTCGCTGGCTGTGTATCCTTCTGGGATTGGCTCAGGGTGCTGACGTGCTGTTCTCAAGGGCCACCCATCCCCTTTGGAGCGTGTCTCCAGGTTTCCCTCTTTCTTCTGGGCTGAGTAATGCTCCATTTTGTGTTTCTTTCAATAGGGATAAATCAGTGTGCACCCTTCTAGAACAAGTCCCCGTGTGTACGTCTGCCGTGCTTGGCGACTTCCGGGGGCAGAAATCAAGGGCACAACAGGAAAAGAAGAAAATACGTAAACCAGAGAAATTGCCTTAGCCTCCCTGCCTTCTAGGAAGACGTGGGGCTCCTCAGGTAGGGTTTGGAAGTCACGGGCGCTCAGAACGGGAGTGGTCACGTGCCACCCGTGTGCCCTCTCTGCGGACGTGGGCTGGAGATGTAGACCAGTAAGTGAGCGGCTTGCCAGCAGGCCCACATCTGGAGTCAGGTCCCCGGGGCGCATGGCGGGTCCTCTCATCATCACAGGGGACCAGGGCAAGCAGGCTGAGCAGGGGGGGCTTGTGAGGGGGGACAAGAGAAGGCCCTCAGAGGTCAGGGATGACGGGCCCAGGAGGGCGGGGCTTGGATGGGCGGGCGGGGCCAGATGGAGGCGCTCTGGGGTCAGGGGCGGTGGGTCCTGGAGGCGGGGCTTGGCTAGTGGGCGGGGCCAGACGGAGGCGCTCAGGGGTCAGGGGTGGTGGGTCCTGGAGGCGGGGCTTGGCACGTGGGCGGGGCCAGACGGAGGCGCTCAGGAGTCAGGGGTGGAGGGTCCTGGAGGCGGGGCTTGGCACGTGGGCGGGGCCAGACGGAGGCGCTCAGAGGTTAGGGATGGCAGGTTCGCGAGGGGCGGGGCCCGGTGCGTCGGGGGCACGGCCGTGACGTCACTCCCGCGGGCTCCGGGAGGACGCGGACATGGCGGCCAGTGGCTTTTCCGGCCTCGCGCAGGGCGCCGGCCCGTCGTCCAGGTAACGAGCCCCGCGTGCGGCAGGATGCCCCAACCCTGCGGGACGCGGTCATGAGTCACGGGGAGCGGGCGGGCTCTGGGCGGGGCGACGGTCCCTGGGGTCCGCGGGAGGGCGGGGCAGGGACCCTGTGAGGACAGACCTGGGTCTTGGAGGGTGGGGACTGGAGGACAGCTGGGGGAGGGGACTGACTTCAGAGAGGACTTGAGACCTTGGGGAACCTTCCGAGCGAGCGGAGAGAGGATGGGGGTTCTGGCGCCCGATAAAAGCAGCTGGGGTTTCTGGTGTTTAATTGATGGGGGACCCTCTACCGGGATGGAGGCTGAGGTTCTGCTGTGTAAAAATAGGGACCCTTCTGACGGGGATGGAGTGTGGGGTTTTGCTGTCTAATGGATGGGGCATCCTCCAGATGGGGATGAAGGGGGAAGTTCTGGTCCCTGATGGATGGGGAACCCTTCAGGTGGGTATGGATTGGGGGTTCTGGTGTCTAAGGGGGGGACCCAGGTAGGCAGGGTGAAGTGAGGCTCTGTTCTTCAGTAAAAGTATGGGCCGGATGGCACAGGCCTCCAGCCCCAGCTCCTGGGAAGAGAAACTGAGGTCGGGGGAAGTCTGTCTGGAGTTCAAGGCTAGCCTGAGATACAACTCAATGAGGCCAGGTTGAGCGGCTTGGGGAGAATTCGTCTCTCAGTGTTGGGAGTTGTGGGGGGTTGACCGCTGGGGACACATTCCCCCATCAGCAGGTATCTTGGTAGGGTTCTAGTGTGATGACACACCACGGCCAAGAGCTGGAGAGAGGGGCTCAGTGTGGAAAAGGACTTGCTGCCGAAGCTGGAATCTGGTCAGTCCCTGGGACTCAGGCTGAAAGATTGCCTGACTCCTGCAAGTGGTCCTCTGTTGTGGCCCAAGACCTGCAGCAAGCTGGGGAGGAAAGGGTTTCTTCGGTTTATGTTGAAATAGGGGCAGCGGGGCTGCGTCCCTGGCACCCGGCCGCCCACGCGGGGCTGTGTCCCACCACCCGGCTAGCTTTACCCGAAATAATTACACGGAAACTGTATTCTTTTAAACACCGCTTGGCCCATTTCTATCTAGCCTCTTCTAGGCTAGCTCTTGCATCTGGACCAGCCCATTTCTAATAATCTGCTGTAGCCCACGAGCTAGCTTACCAGGAATGATCTTAACCTGCGTCTTTCTGGAGTGGGAGAATCATGGCGACTCCTTGACTCAGTTTCTTTCTCCCAGCATTCTGTTCTGTTTACTCCGCCTACCTATGTTTTAACCTATGAGGGCCAGCCAAGCAGTTTCTTTATTACTTAACCAATGAAATCAACAGATTGATATATCACACTCCCACATCAGGTTTACACGTCCACACCACTGTTTATCACTGAAGAAGTCAGGGCAGGAACCTGGAGGCAGGAGCTGATGCAGAGGCCATGGAGGATGCTGCTCACTGGCTTGCTCCTCCTGGCTTCCTGAGCCCGCTTTCTGTATAACCCAGGACCACAGCCCAGGGGTGGCACTGCCCCACGCTCACTAACTGTGGCCCTGAACAACCCTTGTGAGGATTACTGCTGCAACAGGAGCTACCCCTTCATTGCCCTATGAAGGCCCGCGATGAGTTCCCCACATTTGGGTGAGAAAAGAAGAGAAGGAAGACTAACGCAGGCCTCCCAGGCCTTGGGCGATGATGCTCAGCATGGAAGGGGCTTTGGCTTGGCTTGTGTGTGCTCTGGAGAGGGCTCTGGAATGGTTTGCGCATGCTCTGGAGGAGGTGCTGTAGATACCTCGGCCTCTTGGTGCCTGGAGAGCAAAGCTAAACTACCCCACCCCCAGCCCAAACCTAAATCCCTGCCACAGTGCTGCACGGCTGGGTGCCAGGTACTGAGACCACCACGCACATGGCAGCCAGAAAAGCCCGGCCTCTGAGCTGCAGAGGTCAGAAGGAATTTTATTTTGGTTCTGTCTGGTTTTGTGTTAGAAAAAAGCGAAAGCTGAGCCCTGACTCTTCTGTTCATCGCTTAGCTGTATTTTTACCCCTTTCCTCAAATGTCAGCTGTTTGCATCACCTGGACACAGCCCCTGAGGGGACAAGGCCGAGCCCCTCGGCTCAGGAAAAGTTGGCCTCCAGAGACCCTCCACTCAGCGCAGCGCCTCCCACTTGGGGAGCCCAACTCCAATGGGGAGCACCCCAGAGCATGGGGTGCCATGGGGTGCAGGGCACCAGCCAGGCGGCACCTTCTGCCCTGTCCTTTGATTTGTCTGGAGAGATGGCTCAGCGGTTAAGAGCACTGACTGCTCTTCCGGAGGTCCTGAGTTCAATTCCCAGCACCCACATGGTGGCTCACAGCCGTCTGTAATGAGATCTGGAGCCCTCTCCTGGCCTGCAGGTGTACATGCAGGCAGAAGTACTGTATACATAATAAATAAATCTTTTTAAAAAAAATCTGAAGTCTCTGAGCCAGTAGCGGTCCGCATGCCTTTAATCCCAGCACTTGAGAAACAGAGGTAGGCAGATCTCTGAGTTTGAGGCCAACCAGGTCTACAGAGGGAGTTCCAGGACAACCAGAGCTACACAGAGAAACCCTGTTCTGAAAAACAACACAATAATAATAAAATCCGAAGCCTCTGTAAAACTCCAAAATCACTTTAAAAATTCAAAGTCATAGCTGTGGGATCCTGTAAAATCAAAAAAGCTCTTTTTCCAAGAGGAGAGAACTAAGCACAGTAACCATTGGAACAAGGTAAAACCAAACTGCAACAGTGCAAATAATTCAACAGTGCAAATAATTCAATGTCCAAATATCTGGGATCCACTCACCATCTTCTGGGCTCCTCCACGGGCCTGGGTCACATCCAGTCGGCCCTCTACAGCGCACACAGCCTGCCGCCCAGGCTCCAGCGGACTCCGCCCCACCGCTGCTGTTCCTGGTGCTCATCCCATGGTACAGACATCTCCACCGCACCGGAGTCTCTGCTGCAGCCTCTCAGAGGCTCTCTTCACGGGGCCAAGCCTCAGCTTTTTGGCATGGCACCTTCGGTCAATTGCCACTGAGCATGCGCCTTCACCAATGCCCTCTCCCGGCCTCTCATGGCGCCAGTGTGAGGTACAGCCTTGCCGCCTCTGGAACACAGCTTCTCTGTGCTCTGAGGACACTTGTCCCAGACGATTTCACCTTGGTGGTGCTGCTCCTTGCTAATCACAGCTAATTCTTTAGCTCCAACAGGCCAGGAACATTTATTGTTATTATTAGTATTATTATTTGTTTTTTTGAGACAGGGTTTCTCTGTAGCTTTGGAGCCTACTGTCCTGGAACTAGCTCTTGTAGACCAGGCTGGCCTCGAACTCACAGAGATCCGCCTGCCTCTGCCTCCCCAATGCTGGGATTAAAGGCGTGGTCATGGCTGACCACAGATTCTTAACTCAGAACTGCAAATGGCCCACAGGGTCTTTGCTCCCCTCTGAACTTCACAGGCCTCCAGCAGCTATGCCTCTCTTGGTGCCATGTGTGCGAGGGGCCTCCCTGTCCTCTGGTGGTGAGCACTCCGTGCCTCCCTAGTCCTCCCCAGAACCCAATCAGGTCTGTCTCAGCAACCCCATGCACCTGGCACCAGTTTCTCTCTTAGCCAAGGTTACTAAGTTTGATGAAATGATCAAACGTGGTTGGGAAGGAAGGCCTTTTAATTCAGCTTAGGGCTTCACATCACTGCCCTCACTGTAGCATAGGCCACAGAGGGGGCTGCTCACTGGCTTGCTCCACATGGCTTCCTCAACCTGCTTTCTGTAGAACCCAGGAGCACCACACCAGGGAGGCTTCACCCACAGCGGGTGGGACCCTCCAACATTGAGCACCAACTAAGAAAATGTCCTCCAGGCTCGTGTGAAGCCTGATCTTGAGGCATTCATTTTCTCAGCTGAGGCTCCCTCCTCTCTGATGACTACAGTCTGTGTCAGGTTAACACGAAACTGCCCAGGAAAGCAGATGTCCCTCCTGTCTGTCCCCAGGGCCATGCCCCTCCAGGCGGCCCAGCCTGCTGATTGTCACCTGCCACCCTTCTGGCAGCTTCTAAGCCAGGCCCAGTTTTTTCTCACTGTGGTGGTAACCTCTGACTTCTCAGGGGGCCCAGTGAACAAGCGCCTGGGAACCCTCAGCCGTGACCCCAGTTTTTACTGATTCGGAACTCACAGTGACACTGAGGAATGTTGGTGTCAGGGCCGCGATCCTTTGAGGCCCCTGGTGGGTAGAGCACATATTAGCACGAAGGAGTCTTTGGGCTCCGTGGCTAGTAGACCCTCCCAGCACTGGGGACGTAGAAGCATTCAGGTGAGCCTCCTCTGTGGAGCGAACTAACAGTCTCCCCGAAAGGCGTCCTGGGACGGACAGCCGTACCTGGTGGCCATCGGTGCTGTTGGTCGCTGGGTAGACAGCAATACAGGCACCCGGGGAAGGAAGATGAGGGGCTGAGAGGTGTTTGGAATACAGCGGCTGCACTTGCAGAGGAACCAGAGGGTGGTTCACAATCTCTGCCTTCAGTGACAGAGCCTGGCGCCCTCTGCTGGCCTCTGCGGGCACTAGCCACACCAGTGGTAATGCAAGCGAAACAAAATAAAATAAAATAAAAAAACACAACTCACGATAGTCCAGGCAAGCCTAGAATTCCCAGCCCCCAGCCTTTGCCTCCAGAATAGCAGGGATAGCCAGGCCTGACCACCAGGCCTGGTTGCAAGAACTTCCACCCACCTGGGTTTCTTGGGCTGTCACTGCGGCTATGAAGCCATTCGGGGGAGATGAGAGCATAGTTGGTCAGAGCACCTGCTGGACAGTGTGAGGACCCGCGTTCACTCCCAACATTCATCTGCAATGTCGGTGTGCCGGTACATACCTCTGTGCCCGTGCTGGCCAGGCCGTCCAGTTAGTGTGAGCTCCGGGGACGTGAGTGTTGTCTGTGGCCACAGGAGTGAGGGGCTGGCCTGGCCAAGCACCTGCTTGGGGGTTGTATGCCGTGGAGACCCAGTTAACCCCCTCTGCCTTTTGTGTTCTGGTGGCTCCAGCACCCAGCCATCCTCGGCTTTTCCTGTCCCGGCTGCTGGGCCCAGCTATGCCATGAAATCTACCCCTGGAACAGAGAGCACCACCAGCCGGGCCCTGGCCCCTGCCACCCAGCCGCACGCCAACCAGGACTCCGCGTCCAGCAGCCGGCCCCCAGGTCCTATCCCTGTGGCTGCGGCTGCGTCTACCCACCAGGTACTGCAGCGCCACCATGCAACAAGATTTTAATTCATTTTTTACACGTGTGAGTGAATTCCTGCATGTGTGTCTTTCGTCACGTGTGTGCAGCGCCCACAGAGGCCAAAGGAGGCTGTCAGCCCCTAGAGCTGGAGTCACAGGTGGTCATGAGCTGCCATGGGGGTGCTGGGAACTGAACCCAGGTCCTCTGTGTGAGTGACTGGTGCTCTGACACCACAAGGAAATGTGTGTTGAATGGGACATCCATGGTGTCCCTGACATCAGCATTTCTAGGGACAGGACCTGCTCTGCGGTGACAGGAGCCACCACACTGACACCTCCCAAGGAGGGGACTTCTAGAGACACTGAGATGGACAGAGTTGTGGCCCAGCCAGGCAGTGGCCTCAGGAGGAGCCTGCAAGGCTCTGAGGGAATCCCCTCCAACAGACAGCAGTTATGGGGGTACCAGGACTTGGGGCCACTGTGTCACCTCCCCCATCACAGCTCCTGCCCCGTCTCTCATCCCTGACTCACGTAGCCAACAGTTGTAGTGCCTTGACTCAGACCAACCTGGGCTCCTGGCTTTCACACTGAGAAGAGTTTTGGGCCAGGGGGTCCTGAATCAGCACTGGGGTTTCATGAGCTTTTAACAGGGACATAAGCAGGAAGGTTGAGATGGGGGCCTTGGGAGGAAGTCTGTCATACCGGTGCAACTCTGGCGTACCTGGTAGTCTTGGAGGTTTTGGTGACCTTTGGGTGCTGTCTTAGCCCTGGGTGGCTCTGAAGGGTAGCATAGTCGATAGGTCACAGAGACGCAGGCTCGAGTACCGTGCACAACCCTGTCTGTGGAGCCTGGGTGTGCGGCCTAGGCCGTACCTGTCACAGGCGGGTCTGCCGCCTGTGATGAGACCCTACCTGTCACAGGAGGGTCTGCCGCCTGTGATGAGACCATACCTGTCACAGGAGGGTCTGCCGCCTGTGATGAGACCGTACCTGTCACAGGAGGGTCTGCCGCCTGTGATGAGACCATACCTGTCACAGGAGGGTCTGCCGCCTGTGATGAGACCGTACCTGTCACAGGAGGGTCTGCCGCCTGTGATGAGACTGTACCTGTCACAGGAGGGTCTGCCGCCTGTGATGAGACAGTACCTGTCACAGGAGGGTCTGCTGTCTGTGATGAGACCGTACCTGTCACAGGAGGGTCTGCCGTCTGTGATGAGACAGTACCTGTCACAGGAGGGTCTGCCGTCTGTGGTGAGGGCTCTTCCCTCCTGATTCCTCAGTCCTGTGTCAGTGCCACTGAAACAATGTCTCAGACCTACTGTGCTGACACAGGCCCATATGTGTAGGGAGTTGGGTCCATCCTGGGCTGGGTGATACTGCCTCAAAAAAAAAAAAAAAAAAAGCAAAACTAGGGTCCAGGTCTGGAGACAGAGGCAGGTGGATTTCTGTGAATTTGAGAGCAGCCTGGTCTACAGAGTGAATTCCAGGACAGCCAGGGCTAAACAGAGAAACCCTGCCTGAAAAAATTAAATAAATAAAATGGTAGGACTGGCTGGCTGGGCACGGGGAAGGGGAAAGACACTGTGACTGAATTTGAGGACCGGGGCGGATGGTGGTGGCGCACTTGGGAAGCAGAGGCAGGCAAATCTCTGTGAGTCCAAGGCCAGCATGGTCTACAAAGCAAGGTCCAGAACATGCTCCAAAGATTCAAAAAACCCATCTCGGGGCTGGAGAGATGGCTCAGTGGTTAAGAGCATTGCCTGCTCTTCCAAAGGTCCTGAGTTCAATTCCCAGCAACCACATGGTGGCTCATAACCATCTGTAATGAGATCTGGTGCCCTCTTCTGGCCTGCAGGCATATATGCAGACAGAATATTGTATACTTAATAAATAAATATAAAAAAAACCCATCTCAAAAAGATAAATAAAAAAATTTGATGGTCGGAATTTGATCCTTGGGCCCCACGTGGTAGATGGAGAGAAGTGACCCCTCAGACTGTCCTCTGACCTCCGTGTGTGCTGTGCCCCGCGTGCTCATGTGCACGCTACATGCAGACTGTCCTCTGACCTCCGTGTGTGCTGTGCTGTGCCCCGCGTGCTCATGTGCACGCTACATGCAGACTGTCCTGACCTCCGTGTGTGCTGTGCCCCGCGTGCTCATGTGCATGCTACATGCAGACTGTCCTCTGACCTCCGTGTGTGCTGTGCTGTGCCCCGTGTGCTCATGTGCACGCTACATGCAGACTGTCCTGACCTCCGTGTGTGCTGTGCTGTGCCCCGCGTGCTCATGTGCACGCTACATGCAGACTGTCCTCTGACCTCCGTGTGTGCTGTGCTGTGCCCCGCGTGCTCATGTGCACGCTACATGCAGACTGTCCTCTGACCTCCGTGTGTGCTGTGCTGTGCCCCGTGTGCTCATGTGCACGCTACACACAACAGATCAATAAACAAATGACTGACCTGTAGTCTGTGGGCAGTATACTCGCCCAACACACGAGGTTGTTGGGTACATCCCCAGTACTACGTAAACCAGGCCTGGGGCAGCTCCTGAGGAGAAGGAAATCCAAGGTCACCATTGGCTGTGTGGGGAGTTCGAGGCCAGCCTGGACTATGAGAGCTTGTCTCATCAAAACACACTTCATGGGGGCTGGAGAGATGGATGGCTCAGCGGTTAAAAGCACTGCCTGCTCTTCCAAAGGTCCTGAGTTCAATTCCCAGCAACCACATGGTGGCTTACAACCATCTGTAATGAGATCTGGTGCCCTCTTCTGGCCTGCAGGCATACGTGCATAATAAATAAAGAAAACGCCTGTAATCCCAGCACTCGGGAGGCAGAGGCAGGCGGATCTCTGTGAGTTCGAGACCAGCCTGGTCTACAGAGCTAGTTCCAGGACAGGCTCCAAAACCACAGAGAAACCTTGTCTCGAAAAAACCCAAAAAAAAAAACAAAAAAAAACACACTTCATGACCAGGGTCCAGACCATAAAGCTGCCACCTGTGCACTGCCCCTCCCATGTCTCACCACAGAGACTCCCCAGTGTCCCACCCCACTACCCCCAGTGTCCCACCCCACTGCCCCCAGTGTCCCACCCCACTGCCCCCCAGTGTCCCACCCCACTGCCCCCCAGTGTCCCACCCCACTGCACCCCCCAGTGTCCTACCCCACTGCACCCTAGTGTCCCACCCCACTGCCCCCCAGTGTCCCACCCCACTGCACCCCCCAGTGTCCTACCCCAGTGTCCCACCCCACTGCCCCCCAGTGTCCCACCCCACTGCACCCTAGTGTCCCATCCCACTGCCCCCCCCAGTGTCCTACCCCACTGCACCCTAGTGTCCCACCCCACTGCCCCCAGTGTCCCACCCCACTGCCCCCCTGTGTCTCAGTGTCCCATCCCACTGCCCCCAGTGTCCTGCCCCACTGTCCCTCAGTGTCCCGCCCCACTGCCCCCCAGTGTCCCGCCCCACTGCCCCCCAGTGTCCCACCCCACTACCCCCTCTGTCCCACTCCCACCACCCCCTCTGTCCCACCCACCTCACTGAGCTGTTTCCTTTTCTCTGTCCCTGTCCCATGGAACGCTCCAGCAGGGTGGTCACAGCTACCGAGAGTCAAAGGTGCCCAGGAACTGCGAGGACACAGCAGAGCAGCCAGCTGCAGCCTCTCTCTGCCGACCAGGTGAGTGTCGGGATCCTCTGAAGGGATGGCCATGGCCATCACAGGGGCCACATCTCAGCACTCAGCACAGACACACAACAGGCCTGGGCCGGACCAGACCAAGCGGGGCTCCTTCTGGCTAGACCCTAGTCCTAGGGTTTTTTTTCTTTTTTCTGTTTTGGTGCTTAGCTTTTTGAGGCAGGGTTTATCTGTGTAGCCCTGTAGCCCCGGCTGTCCTGGAACTCATTTGATAGACCAGGCTGGCCCTGAAGTCAGAGAGATCCGCCTACCTCTGCCTCCCTGAGTGCTGGGATTAAAGTTGTGACCATCACCAGCCGGCCAGCAGTCTTGTGTCTTTTTGTCTGTGACATTTACTTGTTACCGCGTGTGTCTCGGCATGTGTGGAGGGCAGAGGAACAGCTTCCCGAGGGAGTGCTCTTCTAGACGGAACAAGTCAGCAGGCTTGGCCGCAAGAGCCTTTATCCACTGAGCCATCTTGCCAGCTCCAGTCTCAATTTAAAATTTCCTTGCGTTCTGGCAGAGCTGCAGCTGGGTGCAATGGGAGGTCACAGGCTGACCCCTGTGACTGTCCCCTCCCTGCTCTGGGTAAGCCTGGCTGAGTGTACTGTCTCTTGCCCTCCTAGGCCCAAGCACCCACAGCTCAGACCGCCCACTGAAGTCCCAGCGGGTCCTGCAGAAGCAACAGACATCCCCAATGGCTCCTGTGGGCTCGGACCCTTGGGGTGGCCCAGGCCTCGGGCCCTGGGACCCCAGCTTTACCAGCGACGCACTGCCATTCCTGGACAGGCTGCCGAAGCCCAAGGCGGGCCCCCGGCCACCCTCCGTGCACTACTGTGAGGTCTGCAGGGTCAGCTGCGCCGGGCCGCAGGTCAGCACTGGCAGTGGGCAGCTTAGTGTCACCCTCCAAAAACAATGGCAGGGCCGGGCGGTGGGGCACACCTTCAATCCCAGCGCTCAGGAGGCAGAGGCAGGTGGATCTCTGAGTTCGAGTCCAGCCTGGGCTACAGAGCGAGTTCCAGGACAGCCAGGACTGTTACACAGAGAAATCCTGTCTTGAAATAACCAAAGTAAATAAATAAAATAAAAAAGAAAGCACTGAGAGATGACCACAGAACGATTGTCTTGACACACACACCACACACAGATTTACACAAACATACCACACATGCACCCCCCCCCCCCCCCCACACACACACACAATGGAGAGAGGAGAGAGCACACTGAGGCCATCTCCCGGTGGCTGAGGCTGTTCTGAGCCTGCCATCCTCCGGCCTCAGCACCTTCTTAGTTTTACCCCGAGTCAGCGATGGTGCAGGCATGCTGTGTGTTTCTGGGGCCCTTGTCACTCGCCCGCTGCCACACTGGGCCGCATGGTTTTCATGATTCTAAGACCCGAGCCCGTTTTGCTCACACGGGCTGAGCTGTCAGACCCTGTGGGCACTGATGTACGGTTGCGGTTGCTCGTCTGTGAGATCAAGGCTCACACGTGTGCAGTGTCGCACTCTGCGTCAGCTCAGAAGGGGCTTCTCTGCGCTCGTGTTCTCAATTGTGTTTATTTTCTCCACGTGAGTCTGTGCCCTGCGTGTGCCTGTCCATTGGGGCAGATGGGGGGTCGGATCCCCTGGAGCTTTGCTCTCACCCTGACTTCACCCAGCATCTATCTTTTTCTTTGTTTGTTTGTTTTTAGTTGTTTTGTTTTAAGGAGGGTTCCGTGTACCCCAGGCTGGCCTTGAACTCACAACTGAGCTGAGGATTACCTTGAGCGAGGACAGGCCAGCAACCCCACATCTAGCTCCTGAGGTCCTGGGGATGAAACTCAGGCCTTTGTCACAAACTTCAGCCCCAGCCTGGAAATCCAGGTGTTGTTTGGTGGCAGCCCCCTGTTCCCAGACAAACCACCGAACCCTTGGTGAATATTTTCTTAAGAACCTGGTTGGAGTTTAGGTCAGGGAAGGGAGACGGTAATACCGCCTGACTCTTGTAATTTAATACCTCTCTTGGTCACAAATGTTGGAGGAAGCAGGGGTCCTGTGTCCCTCTGAGCTCCCACTAGCCAGCTCTGCAGCCTGCAGATGATGACTGTGTAGTCACCCAGGCCACCTCATTCTGTTCCAGACCTATCGGGATCACCTGGAAGGACAGAAGCACAGGAAGAAGCAGGCAGCTCAGAGGACAGGCACACAGCCCAGCGGAGGTCCGCGAGGGGCCCAGAGCCTGCACTGTGGCCTCTGTGCTGTGTCCTGCACCGGGGCGGATGCCTATGCAGCTCACATGAGAGGAGCCAGGCACCAGAAGGTATGAGCCTCCCAAGCCTGCTGTGAGCTCTGAGCACGTGCAGGTGTGGGGGGAGGGCACGGGGGGGGGGGCTGACGACTGTGAGCCTCTGAGTCTGCTCTGACGTGGCTGGAGGTAGCGACCTTAGGCAGTGGCACTGTGGCTAGAGTCTGACTGAGCCCAGGGCATGAGTGTGTTTGTGTTTGTCTCAGCTGGGGTCCCCCAAATCACGTATTTGTGCACACACTCACAGGCTACAGCTGGGGAGCTAGAGAGCTGTCTGCATTGGAGATAGACGACATTCAGTGGGAGCCAGCGCAGGTGGTCGAGAGAAAGAGGTGTCACAGCTGAGAAATGGGACCCCGCAGGCAGGAGGTAGCTCCGGGAGGTGTTTTAGCGTGGAGTTTCCCACAGAGTATAGAAACCAGGGTGCGGCCCCCACATTCCCTCCAGTAGCCAATTCGGTGTGAAGTGCCCTGTTTTCCAAAATCACTCCTGACTGAGAGCTGTGGGGTCCATTGCAGGTCTTCAAGTTGCACACCAGGCTAGGGAAGCCCATTCCCTCTGAGCCCACGCCTCAGAGTGTCACCTACACCAGAGGCTCGGACAGCACCCCTGAAACCTCAGTCAAGCAGGAAGCTCACAGCAGTTACAGCTCACACACCTCAGGCCGGCCAGCACCAGCCAAAGGATCAACAGCCTCACGCAAGGGTACAGGTCTCTCCAGTTCCCTGCATGTGAGCAGATGACCACACCCCCAGCCCCTCACTGGGGATTCTAGGTAGGGCTATACCCTGACTATGCCCCCAGCTTTTAGATATTTTGGGGGTGTTTTTGTTTGTTTTTCTTTTTTTTTTTTTTTTGACAGGATTTCCAGGGTTCCTGGCTGTCAGAGTTCTTTCTGACTCTGTAGCCCAGACTAGCCTTGAATTCAGATCCTCCTGCCTCTGCCTCCCAGTTTTCTGGGATTAAAGACAGGTGCCACCCTGGCCATCTCTTGTTTTTGAGACAGGATCTCACTGTGTGGCCCATGGTGACCTGAAACTGGTGATCCTCCTGCCTCAAACTTATGAGCAGGGTGTGCACCACCAGTTCTGTGAAAACTTAGTTTGACTAGGAAGCCACCGTCCTTGGGAGCTCCGTGAGGTGACCTGCCCTCAGCAGGCAGTCAGTGGCCACTTGCGGAGCACCTCGCTTCCTTGCTCTGAGCTGTTTCCACGTAGCCTGGACATTCTACCTGCCCTTCTGTGGCTGCACGGCTCCATGTTGCTGCTGAGATCTTTCAAGGGAAGGAGGGGCTACTGCTCCTCTGCTTCAGGTTCCTGGGGCATTGTGGGAAAGGGGTGGGGAGAGCCTGGGGTTGCAGCCGGTCTTGGTTTCTGGCAGGGCCACCTGAACTGCAGACAGCACACAGCCGACCCGGAGAAAGGAGACCACCACACCCCAAGGCAGAGGCCACCAGGGGAGGGCCTGGGGAAGCTCCAGGGACCTATGGGGACATCGAGCCAGTGGGCACAGAGTATGTGGAGGAGGTGAGTGAGCTCCATGCAGGGCCACGGGCCCGAGACTCGCCAGCCCCTCTTCATGTCCACCTCCTTCAGGGTATGCTAAGAGGGCCGGGGGCAGGAAAGCCTGGCGGGGCACCAGGACCCTGCCACCCAGCAGGCCAGGCTGTGGCACTTTGCACCTCAGTTGGCTTCCACACCCTGGCCTTTCCTGCAAGAATCAACCAGCTCCCTCCACCCTGAGGTCCTGGGCCCCAACTGTCAGCCCAAGGACAGCCCTTGCCCGCCACTGCGCAGACACCCAGGGAAGACGGTTTCTTCACAAGCTTCTGCCCTGTGCAGAGCCGTTTCCACTCCCAGCTGGCTCCGTGGCACCTGCCTGCCCAGATGTCACCTGTGTGGGTGTGTGCAGGGTCCTTCTGTGCCTTGCACTTTGTCTCAGCCGCTGGAGTCAGCTGTGGTGGCCTGCCGCTGAGACAGAGCATTAGACAGAAGTCATGGAGACCAAAGAAAGTGATGGGATGTGGGCTCTGTCCCGGGGTGGAGCTGGGGGAGGAGGGGACCAGGCCAGGGGCAGAACCTGGGCTCCGGCCAGCCCCACCAGGAGGACCAGTGTCCTGGGTGTCTTGGTGCCCAGAATCCTCCAGGGCGTTAGGGCTGGCCAGTGGGCAGCTGAGCCGTGTTCTGTCCTAGGTGCGCAGCGAGGAGGGGAAGGTGATCCGCTTCCGATGCAAGCTCTGCGAGTGCAGCTTCAATGACCGCAATGCCAGGGATATGCACCTGACCGGACGGCGGCATCGGCTGCAGTACCGGGTATGTCCGGCAGGGGCACTAGAGGCTGCCGGGACCACCCGGTGGGAGAGGAATTGGGTGCAGGAGGAGGGTGGGCAGACAGGTCCATAGCTTTCTTCTTCACCAGGAGTCTTCCTCCTTGGCCACGCAAGAGACTGCAGATGTTCAATGCCAGGGCTGAATGAGATCCAGCCTGTGCTTAGCTGCTGTAGCTCCTCACGGGTTCAGTGTTTCTAGTCCCTCAGTGAGCACAAGTGGCTTGAACTTGGACAGATGGAGCATGCCTCTTGGTGGCTCCCTGTGGAGCTGCGCTCCTGACCCCACCTGTGCTCAGTAGGCTGTGCAGAGTGAGCAGGAGTAGCCCACGCTGCTCCTTGGGTCCACTGTTCAGTGAGCAGGAGTAGCCCACACCTCCAGTACCTTGTCAGGACCTTTCCCAAAGCACCCGTTTTGGCTGCTGTGGCCTGCATGTCACCTGCTGTCCCCACAGCACACTTCCCTCCATTGCTCTTGTGGGAGGGGCAGCTCTGTGAGAACAAGCAGCTGGTGTATGTTGGGGCCCTCTATGCCCATGAGGTGGCCCCTGCTTCAGTCTGTCCGTCCCCTCTAGTGGCATCATCTGTCTGGCTTTGCCTTTGCAGAAGAAAGTGGACCCGACACTTGCGGTGGCCGCCCGGCCCAGCGGCCCCATGCAGAGGGTGCTGGTCAAGAGGCTGCAGTGGCAGCGGCAGCTGGCACAGACAAGACTAGAGGATGCACAGCGCTGGAGCTCTGAACTAAGGTGACCATGATGTCCCCTCTGACCTCACAGTCCTTCAACCTCTGATGCCCCCTGACCTCTGATGTCTCTATGTCCCCCAACCTCTGATGCCCCTGACCTCTGATGTTCCTATGTCCCCTGACCTCTGATGTCCCCATGTCCCGTGACCTCTGATGTTCCCTGACCTCTGATGTCCCCATGTCCCGTGACCTCTGATGTTCCCTGACCTCTGATGTCCCCATGTCCCGTGACCTCTGATGTTCCCTGACCTCTGATGTCCCCATGTCACGTGACCTCTGATGTTCCCTGACCTTTGATGTCCCCGTGTCCCCCAACCTCTGATGTCCCCATGTTTCCTGACCTCTGATGTCCCCGTGTCCCCTGACCTCTGATGGTCCCTGACCTCTGACGTCCCCATGTCCCCCGACCTCTGATGTCCTCGACCTCTGGCGTCTCTGCATCCGTCCTACTCTGCTCTTTAGACCTTCTCTGTGGTCACCTGGGCCCTGGGGCTGGAGTGCGTTTGTGGGGTTCTCTGGTGATCACAGCCCTGTGTCCCCCCACATCTGGCCATAGACAGCAGGAAGGACAGAACAGGGAGCTTGAGGAGCTCTCCCAGCCCCAGATTGAAGAGCAGTCACCCAAGTCACCCGCCTGGGCCCTGCCAGCTCCCATTGCCAAGCCAGGAATGGCCACCACCCGGCGCCAGGTAGGTGAGGGGGGCTGATGTGCCGTGTAAGAACCTCCTCGGTCCCCACCAGGCCTCAGGAGCCTCAGGACTGGTAGTGAAGACTACCCAGTATGTGGGTTCAGCATGGCATGTCTCTCCCACACTGTGGCTTCCTCCTGTTCTCCACAAATGTCCATCCTTAGGCTGAGTAGGGACCTGAGTCTGGCCTCTTGCTTGGGGACGGGCCCTGTGTGGCCTCTGGCCTGTGAATGGAAGAACATTGCCACCAGAAAAGAGCTGTCCCACCCAGACCTCAGCCCCGGCATGTGTTCCCTTGTGGGAGCTGCTCAGATGCTGGCCACAGCCAGCTCCCGCCTGCCAGGGCTCCCTGCAGCCTGCCTGACCCTTCCACCCTCTCCGCAGTCCTGCCAGGGCTCCCTGCAGCCTGCCTGGCTTTGCACCCTCTCCGCAGTCCTGCCAGGGCTCCCTGCAGCCTGCCTGACCCTTCCACCCTCTCCGCAGTCCTGCCAGGGCTCCCTGCAGCCTGCCTGGCCTTGCACCCTCTCCGCAGTCCTGCCAGGGCTCCCTGCAGCCTGCCTGGCTTTGCACCCTCTCCGCAGTCCTGCCAGGGCTCCCTGCAGCCTGCCTGGCCTTGCACCCTCTCCGCAGTCCTGCCAGGGCTCCCTGCAGCCTGCCTGGCCTTGCACCCTCTCCGCAGTCCTGCCAGGGCTCCCTGCAGCCTGCCTGGCCTTGCACCCTCTCCGCAGTCCTGCCAGGGCTCCCTGCAGCCTGCCTGGCTTTGCACCCTCTCCGCAGTCCTGCCAGGGCTGGCTGTCTTGTCCTCACCCCACCCTTGATGAGCGTAGTTCTCCCCACAGTCGGGGCGCCGGCCAGAGAGCAGTGACGATCGGCATGTCATGAGCAAGCATGCCTCCATCTACCCCACCGAGGAGGAGCTGCAGGCCATCCAGACAGCTGTGTCCCACACAGAACGAGCCCTCAGACTGGTGTCGGACACACTGGCTGAGGAGAGCAGCCAGCATGGGTTAGTGCTACGCCAGAGGCCATGGATGCCACAGGGTTAAAGCTCTGTCCCACCTCCGTTGTCTCCCAAGGCTTCTGGTGGAGAAAATCCCTCCCACCCCCCCATGTGTAGGGGTTGGTGAATCCAGCATTCAGGAAGCTGAGACAGGAGGATTGCTGTGAGTGTGAGGTCAGCCTCCACAGTGAACCCTTGTTTCAGATATAGATAGGTAGGTACATACATGAAAGATATAGATAGATCATAGATAGATAGATATGTAGATAGAGAGAGATCATAGAGAGGTAGATAGATCATAGATAGATAGATATGTAGATAGAGATCATAGAGAGGTAGATAGATCATAGATAGATATGTAGATAGAGATAGATCATAGAGAGGTAGATATGTAGATAGAGATATAGAGAGGTAGATAAATGAATCATAGACACACAGATAGATCATAGAGAGGTAGATGTCTGACCTCTCCAGTGATGGGATTGCTTGCATGGGACTGAGGGATGAATACTGGGGATGGAGGTGTGTTTCATTTCCTATCAGGCCTCTGCTGTAGAGAGGCCTGGTTCCTGGTGCTCAGGAGTACAGCACCCTTCCATCTCTCCTGCTGACGTGTGCTGCTTCTCTGTCTCCTCAGCACCCTGGCGCCTCCACCACCGCGGATGCTCAAGGGTGTGGTTCGGGTCGGCATCCTGGCCAAGGGCCTGGTCTTGCGCGGGGACCACAGTGTGCAGCTGACCCTGCTGTGCTCCAAGAAGCCCACGCACTCCCTGCTGCAGAGGATCAAGCAAGAGCTGCCCAGAGAGCTGTCGGTAAGGGCAAGGCTGGAGAGACGGCGGAGAGGCCCACAGGGCTGGGGTGACGCCATCGTCTCGCACATACGTGTTGACATCTGAGTTCCAGTGTCTAGAACCCATGTAAAAAGCCATGTAAAAAGTCTGGCGGTGGTGCACACCTTTAATCCCAGCACTTGGGAGACAGAGGCAGGCGGATCTCTGTGAGTTCGAGGCCAGCCTGGTCTACAAGAGCTGGTTCCAGGAAGGCAGGACTACTCAGAGAAGCCCTGTCTTGAAAAACCAAAACAAACAAACAAACAAACAAAACAAGATGGAAAAACAATTGAGAAACACTCTGAGGTCAGTCTCTGGCCCTGACACGCCCAAAAGAGGAATCAGCCACACACCTGTCATTCCAGCAGCTGAGGCAGGGGGATGACAAGCTCTACCCAGGGCTTGGTCAGTAGCTCAGTGGTGAGCACTCGCAGGTGCAAGGCTCTGGGCCCCATTCCCAGCACTGGCATGTACATGCACACACATGTTCACACACGTTACACACTCACACATGTTCACACACGTTACACACTCACACATGTTCACACACGTCACACACTCACACATGTTCACACACGTAACACACGCACACACATGTTCACACACGTTACACACTCACACATGTTCACACATGTTACACACTCACACATGTTCACACACGTTACACACTCACACATGTTCACACACGTTACACACGCACACATGTTCACACATGTTACACACTTACACATGTTCACACACGTTACACACTCACACATATGTTCACACACGTTACACACTCACACATGTTCACATGCGTCACACATGTGCACATGCTCACATACGTCACACATACACACACATGTTCACACACGTTACACACGCACGCATGTTCACACACGTCACACAACACACACATGTTCACACACGTCACACAAGCACACGTGTTCACACATGTTACACATGCACACATGTTCACACACGTTACACATGCACACACATGTTCACACGTTACACATGCACACACATGTTCACACGTTACACATGCACACATGTTCACAGTCACACACACATGTTCACACACGTTACACAAGCACACACATGTTCACACACGTCACAATGCACATACATGTTCACACGTCACACAAGCACACGCATGTTTACACACATTACACACGACACACATGTTCACACGTTACACACGCACACATGTTCACGCACGTCACACATGCACACATGTTCACACAGTCACACATGCACACACAAGTTCACACACGTTACACATGCACACACACAGTTGCGTCTGTGCACCCACAGGGTGACTGCCTGTGAAAGGCTGTGTTTCCTTCCCGTTCTGCCATTATGCGTCACCAGCCGCTTTTCTACTAAGTTGCTGTCCTATGTGCAGCAGTGCCCTTCACTGCAGAGGCTCCTCAGCCTCCCTGGCGGGTCTCAAGTTGCCCAGGCTTTCCCAACACAGGGCTGGCCCTGGCAGCAGGCACACTAGGTAGACAGATGGGCACACGGGCAGTACCGTTCTGTGTGCATAGGGCTCCTGTCATGTTTACCCCAGATAGTGGCAGAAGACAAGTACGAGGTCTCATCTGACCGCAACGCCAACATCATTATCTCAGCCTGCGTGGAGCCGGGGGTGAAGGTCACTGTGTCCGCCACCTCACCTCTGATGCGCGAAGACCCCTCCGTAAAACGAGGTACACCCCCAACTTCCTGTCCTAGGTCTCCAGGGCACAGCAGACACAACCTGCCCTGGGTAGGACCCCCAGTGGCCTCACTAGCTCTGGGTCACACATGTTCACGTGGGGTCACACGGGTCATTCAGGGTCACACGGGGTCACGTAGGAGCAAATCTGGGGCAGTCGAGCTAACAGCTAACTTCTGGACCTTAGCACATGCTCGGAAGGTCCTCTCCTGCTGAGTGCACCTCTCCATGGAGTTTAGGGACAGGGCCTCTCTATGCAGCCGGGCCCAGGCCTGAGACTTGCAGGCTGTCACTACTTCAGCATACGGTCATGTACAGTAGTGACCCAGCTGTAGGTGTGGGCACGGTGTCGGCGTGTACAGTAGTGACCCAGCTGTAGGTGTGGGCACGGTGTCGGCGTGTACAGTAGTGACCCAGCTGTAGGTGTGGGCACGGTGTCAGTCCTTTATCTCAGTGCTCAGGAGGCTGAGCAGAGAGGCCTCCATTGGGAGCTGGAGCCCAGTGTGCAGTGCAGAGGAACAGGGCCACCCTGTGAGGCAGGGACTCAGTGTCCTGTCCCTTCTAGGACTTCAAGACTCTCTGCCTGACCCAGAGGATGTCCTGGACAGGGAGCAGTGCCTTGAGACCCTGGCTGCCCTCCGTCATGCCAAGTGGTTCCAGGTCAGGACCCGGGGTGGCTGAGGTGGGGACAGTCACCAGCCACAGTTTGTCTCAGAGTCCCACTGACCACCAGTGTGTATTCTCCCCAAGGCTCGAGCCAGTGGCCTGCAGCCGTGTGTGATTGTCATCAGAGTTCTGCGGGAGCTGTGTCGCTGCCTGCCCCCATGGGGGGCCCTGCCCGCCTGGGTAAGGCCGCAGGGGACAGTGAAGAACCACAAGTGGGGGTCCAGCCTGGTCTCCTCTCAGCGCCCGACTAACCCAGAGTGGGTCACTGTCATGTTTGACTGTCACCTTAAGCCAAAATGGGGGGTGAAGCCCAGACCCTGCAAATGCAGGTGTCCCAGGGAATATACTTGCTTCACAAGAGCCGTCAGCATCAGGGCAAGAGCCAGGGCACCCCTGGAACTCGAGAATGCTCATGTCCTCACAGACATGTACTCCAGCATGGCCTTGTTCACCAACCCTGCCCCCTTCCAAGCTACAGTGTGTCCCGTCGTATCCCCCACACCATGGCCCTGTGTCCCCTTCAGGCCATGGAGCTGCTGGTGGAGAAGGTTCTGAGCAGCGCACCCCGGCCCTTGAGCCCAGGGGATGCCATGCGGCGGGTCCTGGAGTACGTGGCCACAGGTGCGCTCCTGACAGGTCAGTGATAGGACAGGCGTGGGTGGGAGGCTAGGCTAGGACGGCAGATACAGCGGCCATCCACATCCACACACAAGAAGAGAGGTCATCTACACACGCTAGAAGAGTGGCCCATAGCCTATAGCAGCACAGGGGCAGAGGTATGTCGGCATCCTTTAGGGACTCTGCGGTGACCATGGCGCCACACCATGGGGCTGGGCTGCGGCTCATCTAGTGTCCCCGGAGCCCCTGGGTCTCATCCCAGCACTGCACAGTCCAGGCCTGGTGGACAGCTGCCACCCCAGCACTTGGGATGAGGCAGGAGGAGCAGGAAGGGCCACAGTGCCCTCCAAAGGGACAAAAGTGGGCCCCAAAGGGTGATTCTGGGTGGGAAAAGAGGGCCAAGGGTCAGGCCTGACCTGTGGACTGTCACACAGGCTGGGGAGTGCTTACCCACACAGGGACAAAGGGGCCATAGGGGACCCATGCAATGTGCCCAGGCTGTATGTTATTGAGGCATACCTGGCCCAGTGTGGCCCATGGGTAGCTGCAGGCAAACACAGTGATACAAGTGAAGTCACCCCGCTAGTCCCTCACAAGGGTGTCCACCTTCTCCCTGGTTCAGATGGCCCGGGGCTGCAGGACCCCTGTGAGAAAGGCCCACAGGATGCCCTGGAGCCCATGACCCCACAACAGCGGGAAGACCTGACGGCCAGTGCTCAGGTACACGGGTCCCCATCCTCCTCCTGCAGTCTGGACTCAGGAATGGGGCTGGGAGTGACAGACAGCTCCAGAGGGCAGCACTGAGTGGCCTGGGCCACAGAAGTCGAGGGCTCTACTGTCCTACACGGAGCCCTAGGCTCCATCCCGGGCACTGGGTATGAAGGCAGGAGGAGCAGAAATTCAAGGCTATCCTTGGCTGTATAGAAAGTTTGAGGTTAGCCTGGGCCTGGTGTCAAAGAAAATACCTCAGCCACACATGCCCACAGTTCCACACACTGCCACTTTCAGAGGAGCCAGGTGTCTTGCACGGAATTCAAGGTGGGGTCCCAAGGGCTCCAGGCCAGCCCGTGCCAGCAGCCAGAGGTGGCATTCCCCAGGCTTCATGCCTGTCACCAGAAACTGTAACAAGGAACAGAACAGCCCTGCTCCCTGGTCCCTGCAGAGGGCAGACCTGACAGGACCCCGCTGTCCACAGCGTGCCCTGCGTCTCGTGGCCTTCCGGCAGATACACAAGGTCCTTCACATGGAACAGTTACCTCCGCGGACCAGATTTGGGGCCCGGGCCCGGAAGAGGATGAGGGAGGCTAGTCAGGCCCAGGAGGGCGCTGGGGAGAGAAAGCGGGGCCGGCAGGGCACGGCAGGGCTGCCCTGAGCCAGCGTCACCACAGGCCTGATCCTGCTCGGGCCTCCTGGGTCTGTAGGCTTGTCCACATGCAGTGACCCCTGTGGTGACCCCGTGCTGTGGCTCTGTCATCCCCACCCCCAGGCAGCAGTGACTTCCACTCCTTGATACTAATCAATTTGAAACTCCCTTGATGTCACATGAAGTAGGTGGGATCTGAATCACTTCCTTGAAATGCCAGGAAGGGTGGCCTGGAAGATTCTAGAAGTCACAGGATTGGGTGGAGGAGCAGAGAGCACAGAATGGGATTCCCCAGACCCCAGACCCAATCCTGTCCTCCACACAGACTCCAGCTCCACCCCAGCGGCGAGTCCTATGGTCCCTGGGACGCTGCCCCCACAGTGGAACCCAGCCCCAGTCACTGAGTGCCTTTGCAGACAGGGCCCACTCTGCCCAGGTCACCCTGTGGACCCCTGAGCCCCCTGGGACTACCCGAGGCTTCAACCCTGCTCCATTCTGCCTGTGGCTTTTAAAGGCACAATGCCTGGAGTCTGTAGAATCATCCAGAACTTGGCCGGGGTGGGTAATAAATCAGATCTGCCTGTGTGCCCTGTGGCTTTCGTGTCCTTCACTCTGGGGTGGGGGTGGAAGTGCCCACAGGCCTCAGTCTCCCCACACCAGGCTGCCTCATGAGCGTGGGCAGATCTCCGTCCCCCCCCCCCCCCCCAAGGGCCTGGTCAGGAGCAGAATGCTTCCTGGAGGAGGTGCCGCGGAGTGCAAGGCCCCAGGCCTTGGGAAAGTCTCCCTTCCAGTTTCCCTCTTCTCCCTGAGCGCCCTCCTCCCGGTGGAACCCCGAATCTAAGCTCAGCCTCCATGAGAGCAACCCTCCAGTGTGCAGAGACCAGTCGTACTTCCTCCCAGCCTCCGCCTCTACACTCCACCCTCCCCCGCCCTGATAAGGGTACAGTGCGGGCAGTGTCCTTATCAGACAGAAAAGTGTACAGGCTGGTTCTGGCTGGGCCAGGCACACATGGGTAGCCAAACCAGGAAGCCTCTTTCTGGTGGCGCTCAGCCTGAGGCTGGCTCAGGGGGACAGTGCTTCACAGCTGGGCGAGCTCATGAGTGGAGGGGACTGGTGGCCGCGACCTTGGTCTAGGCTCAGTGCTGGAAAAGCACAGCGCCCCACCGCTCCGCGCTGAGCCCCTCCGCCAAGCCCACCCGTGTCTCCCTGGGAAGGCAGATGAGTCCACGCCAGGTGGCAAAGAGTTAAGTCGGACCCGCCTAGCAATCCCAAACCACGGCGCTTCCGCGACAAATCCAGCATTTGGTGATTTCAGTCCAGATGGAGTCCTGTTTGGGCTGTGCAGCTCCCTGAAGCCTCGAAGAGCCGCAGCAACTGACCGGCCCGCCCAGGTCCTGTCCCCGCGGGGCAGGGGACCCTGCAGCAGGCCGGCCGAGGGTCAGGGGCACAAGGCTGGACCCCAGACAAGGCAGGAAACCGAGCGCCAGGGTATTGAGGGAGAGCTGGACCCGGGCTGCGGATGCAGGGGAGCGTTGCTAGGAGACAAGGTAAGTGTGGGTGGGTGACGCGTGCGTGTGGGCGGGCCGCGGTCCAGGCAGGAGGTGTTGGGGAGATGGCTGCCTGTAGGAGGTCACTGCTGACCTCAGGAAGGGCGATGATCACCAGGGCTCGAAGTAAGAGCCAGCTGGAGGACGGGTGCTCTTCAGGAGGGGATCGCAGCCCCCCGCGGGCCTCGCCCGTCCCATGTTCACTGACGTTTTGAAAATAAAACGCTGCGTGATTGTCACTGGCCAAGGAAACACCAAAGACTTCTCTAAGGAACGAATGGGCACACACGGCACAGTCCAGCCACTCGCTGGAATATTATACAGCCACGAAGGGCATTCTGACCCTGCTCGAATGCAGGTGGCCCTGGAGGACATAATGCCCAGTGACACAGGGTTGGTGTCATCAGACCCACAGAGATAGGAAGTGGTTCAGTGAGGGCCCTGGGCAGGGGAGGGCATGGAGTTAGTGTGGGATGGGGAGACAGTTCTGGACACAATGATGCCAGTGGCAGTGGAAGTGAGCGAGCCATGTTGCATGTGGAACTGAGATGGGAAAAAGTAACTTTCATGTCACAGGCATTTGTTAAAATTTGATAATGAATATTGCCGGGCGGTGGCGGCACACGCCTTTAATCCCAGCACTCGGGAGGCAGAGGCAGGCAGATCTCTGTGAGTTCGATGTCAGCCTGGTCTACAGGAGCTAGTTCCAGAACAGGCTCCAAAGCTACAGAGAGACCCTGTCTCAGACAACAACAAAGTGTATCTGCGTGCACATGTGCATGTGTGCATGTGTGCGTGTGTGTGTGTGCGTGTGTGCGTGTGTGCATGTGTGCGAGGCTGCAGTCAGAAACCAACCCTTGGGAGTCTCTCTTCACGGTGTGTGTCACGGAGAGTATATGCAGGCATGGGACAGCCTCGCCCTCTGGGTTCTCACTCCTGCTCCGTGTCCTGGTTTTTGGACATGCGGTGTGGGTGGGTGGCCTATGAGCATATTATTTTAATCTCTGTTCTTCAGCCGACACGACAGGAAGCCAGCTCCTATTGCCAGTCCTTGTGGGTTTTGTGTAGTATGACCAGGAGTCCTGAGCTAGCCTGGGCTACACAGTGAAACCCTGCCGTAAAAACTAAAAAGGGCCGGGCAGTGGTGGCGCATGCCTTTAATCCCAGCACTCGGGAGGCAGAGGCAGGCGGATCTCTGTGAGTTCGAGGCCAGCCTGGTCTACAAGAGCTAGTTCCAGGACAGGAACCAAAAGCTACGAGAAACCCTGTCTCGAAAAATAAAATAAAATAAAAAAAAAAAAAACTAAAAAGGATGGTAGAGGGTGAGAGCAGCTGGGCCCCAAAGAGAGCAAGGGTCATTTCCCTGCAGGAAGCCTGGTGCTTCCCTGAATCTGGGAGTCCCCTAGCATGAGAAGCACCAAGTAGAGCTAATTTTAAAGGCACGTTAATTGGGGCAGCAGGATCTGGCCAGGGATGCAGGCTGCAAGGGAGCCATCTCCATGGCAACTGAGATGCCTAAGTGTCCCCAGTGCCTTGACTGATGACGGTGAGTGCCAGGGCCTCAGTTTCTCCATCTACAAGATGGACACAATGCCTACTCCCTGCAAAGGGAAGCAGACAGCTCTTGACACCTCTGAAGGTAGTGGCTTTATAAAAATCCATTTGGAGAGCTGGGCATGGTGGCACATACCTGTCATCCCAGGACTCAGGATGCTGAGGCAGGAGCATGGCCAGTTCTAGGCTAGCCTGGACTATGAGTGAAAGTGTCTTAAAGAGAAGTGTTAGGGCATTTTCTATCTGTTCTTTAGACAGAGACTCACGTAGTCATCCCAGGTAGCTGAGGCTGACCTTGAACTCCTGACCCATTACTGGAATGACAGGCGCATACTACCACGCCTGGTGTAGAGACCAGGGCTTCGTGCACACCAGGCGAGTTCTATGCCCGTGAGCCCAGCCCCAGCCTCCTGCGACACGAAAAACATGCTTAAACACATTCAGGTCCCATGTCAAGTGTCCAGGGCTTCACAGGCTAGGGCTGCGGTCAGAAGTGCCACGTGTGGGCAAGAGCTTCCTGGCCATGGTGTTTCCTCTGCTCCGTCTGTGGCTCAGCACGTCTATTTCAGGCAGCTGCGACGGCTTACCAACGAAAATGGATCCTTAGTATTCCTGGAATCACTGCCACGGGGCCCCCAGTAAGAGGGTAACCACACCTCAGATCCCCACCCAGCTCTGCCACTGGTGGTGGGGCCTCCTGCCTCAGCCTCACCTAACCCACAGGGACAGTACTATTATCATTTAACACATAAGCTCATAAGCTTTCCTTTTTTTTTTTTTTTTTTTTAACAAGGTCCCAGGTAGCCCAGCCTGGCCTCAGATTGACTCCATAGCCGAGGTTGACTTTAACTCCCTTCCCCCTTGCTTCTACCTCCCCAGTGCTGGGGTGACAGGCCTGTGACCACAGTGTGCCACCAGCCCCAGGCCTGTCTTCTGCATCTTTGCCAGCTGTAAGTACCAGAGAAAACATCTGGACAAAGTCCATTTGGCAAAGCAACCAGGGAGGTGGTCAAGGCCAGCAGCTCACAGCACTACGACCTCCATGCTGCAGCCACGGCCCCTCAGCCTGGGCCTCCACTCCCCGCTGCGCTGTGAGCCTGGCGCTTGCACACACATACAGGTACTTTCAGAAAGGCCAAGCTCCTCCTGCTGTGGGGGTGCTCCAGCCTCTGGCTCCAGCCTGTAAGGCCTCAGCACCGCATGAATGGAACCTGTGCAGGATGGGTCAGATCTGATCAGAAAGCAGCCGGTTACCGCATAAGCTCGGGCCACGGCAGCACCAGTGGGTATCTACTGCAGCGTGGGAGCTGCGTGACAACGGCAGTAGGAAGGAAGCCTCTGGGTCAGTTCCTGTGACTCAGACGTGTGGTATCTTCAGCAATGAGGGTCACCCAAGAGCAGAAGTTGGTTTGCAGTCGCTGGTCCTCCCTGGCCCGTGACTCCCAGGTGGGCACCCACACCTGGCTGGAGACCTGTGGCTGTGGTCTCACAGCCATCCGTGAGGGCACGTTTGTCCAGACTTGTCCGCTACTTCTGAGCCGCCCCCAACCCACCCCTGCTGTCTTTAATTAGTTAAATAGGTTTATTTTATTTTATTCGGCTTTTGTTTGTTTGGTGTTTTTTGTTCTTTGGGTTTTTTTTTTTTTTCCAGTCAAGGTCTCACGTAGTTCTCTAGCCCAGGCTGGCCTTGAACTCACAGAGATCGGCCTGCTTCTGCCTCCTGAGTTCTGGGGAAACATTCGAGAGCCCCAGGGCAGGAGGAGCCTGGCCTTTCTGAACGTACTTGTGTGTGCACGCACCAGGCTAACAGCGCAGCGGGGAGTGGAGGTCCACGCTGTGGGGCCGTGGCTGCAGCGTGAAGGTCGTTGTGCTGTGAGCTGCTTGCCTTGATCACCTCCCCACACGGGGAACTCCTTCCAATTCCTTGTACTTGCGCCTGCGCGAGCCGTCCCTTGCTCCTAGCCTTTCCGGGGTGGTCTACGGAAGGCCGGGATTCAGCGGGGACCCAGAGGACACCAGGCACCAAGCACCCGGCATCCAGCATCCCGCCCGGGAGGCGGAGCGGGAGGAGGCGGTAGCGCGGCCCGTAGTACGGCCGGCGCTAGGACCCGCAGGGGCTCCGAGCCGGGTCCCCTCCATCCTCGCCCCAAAATGAGGAAGCGGAGCAAGTTGCTCCGAGTTGAGCCTTGGGGCGCACGACCCGCTGGCGGGCACCCTCCCGGGGTTGCGCCCTGAGCAGGTGAGCGCGTGCGCGCGGGTGGAGAGGGGACGCCCCTCAAAACGGTCCTGGACCCGGGGACGTCAGGTGCCAGGGCTGGGTATTTTTTTTTTTCTGGGTGCGGCGTGCGCGTCTCTGAGTGCGCGCGCCCTGGTGGTCACTGCAGGGCCCATGTGTGCTGCAGACACAAGCACAGGTGCCCGCGTCTAGCCGGCACCCGTGTCTAGCAGGCACCCATGTCGCGCGCACACGATGGCAAGGTGGCACCTGTGCCCAGATGCACGTGCGCCTCCGCTTGCGCGCAGCTGCCCTGCAAAACCCACTGAGCCCGAGGCCAGAAGCTCACCTCAACCTTCTGCCCTGGCCTCTACCAGCCACCAGTTGGGTACCCCAGCAGTCACTGCTCTGCGCTATCCACGCTGGGGTCGTGTGGGTCCTTCCAGATGCTTCCTTAGTGACCCCTGGTGACCTGAGGAGCCACGTAGGAGCCCGGCCTCCCCAGACTCCACCCAGGGTCAGATTCCCAGGAATGACCTTGAGTCACCGCCCCTGCCCACAGCCCAGGAAAGAGGAAGCTGCGGGCCCAGCTCCTGGCACCGTCCTCCCCACACACAACCCTGGCTGCCACCAGAGTCATCAGATCCCTACACTCCTGCCGCTAGGCCTCAGTTTCCCTTCCGGAGCAATGGCAGGGCAAGGCTCCGGGGTCTCCTGGCTGGCCTTTGATGGCTGGGAGTCTAAGGACCTTCCTCGGGTAAAGATAACTTCCCAAAGCCTGGGCTGCAGAGGGGTCACTACCTAAGCCACCTGAGGGCTGCTCGAGGAGGTTCTTTGTCTCGTGGTGCTGCCTCCACCCGGCCAGGCCCAGCGGAAGGAAATGAACCTGGGGACATCTAAACATCACACTGACTCCTCCACAGGTGAGCCCTCGCTTCCTCCGAGCCTGGCACCCCTCGCCTGTCGCAGCTAGGATGCCAACCGTGAGTTACCAGACCATTCTCAACTGTCCTGGGGGAGGGCGTGCGCCCGGAGGCAAGCTCCCACCCCTGACATTCCCCCAGGGACTGGGCCAGTCTGGCCACTCAGGCCTCTACACGTTACTGTGATTCTGCTCTCTTCTCTCTCTCTCTCTCTCTCTCTCTCTCTCTCTCTCTCTGACTCAGTTTCCCTTCTATCCACTCCAAGTTTGCTTTTATTTATCTATTTACTTACTTACTTATTGTTTTATTTTGCTTTTTTGACACCAGGTCTCACTATACAGATGAGCCTGGCTTGGAACTCAGTATATAGGCCAGGCTGGCCTCAAACTCAGAAATCCACCTGCCTCTGCCTTCCAAGTTCTGGAACTACAGGTGTGGGCCACCACTCTCAGAATTATTTTTTAGTTTTTTTGAGAAAAGTTCTCACTGCAGCCCAGGCTGACCTTTAACTGGTCTGGAATCCTCCTATCTCAGCCACCTGAGTGCTAGGCTACTGGCCTGTGTCTTCGCCATTCCCTTGTCCTGTCTTCAGCTCTCAGTTTCTCCCAGGTCTCCCTGTCCCTCCCAATTTTCACAGCTTCTGTCCCTGACATCCCCGGCCTCTGTCTCATCCCCAGAGGCGCTGGGCCCCTGGGACTCAATGTATGACCAAGTGTGAGAACTCACGCCCCAAGCCTGGTGAGCTGGCCTTTCGGAAGGGCGACATGGTGACCATCTTGGAGGCCTGTGAGGTGAGGGGGCGCTGAAAAGTAGTTGGGGTGCATTTAGGGGTGCCAGGACAGACTCCCTGAGCTCCTTCCCTCCCGATGCAGGAGAAGGGCTGGTACCGCGCCAAGCACCACGGCAGTGGGCAGGAGGGGTTGCTGGCGGCCACTGCTCTGCGCCAGCGGGAGGCCCTCTCTGCAGACCCCAAGCTCAGCCTCATGCCGTGAGTGGTGCCCTGGTAGGGTGGGTGGCATCAGGGCCGCAGCCTCCCTGTGCCACACTATATCCTCTCCCCGCGGGTCCCCACAGATGGTTCCACGGTAAGATCTCGGGTCAGGAAGCCGTGCAGCAGCTGCAGCCCCCCGAGGACGGGCTGTTTCTCGTGCGAGAGTCGGCTCGTCACCCTGGAGACTATGTCCTGTGTGTTAGTTTTGGCCGAGACGTCATCCACTACCGTGTCCTGCATCGAGACGGCCACCTCACCATCGACGAGGCCGTGTGTTTCTGTAACCTGATGGACATGGTGGAGGTGTCCTGTGGGAAACCGCTGGAGCAGGAGGGGTGGCAAGATGGAGTGGGGGGGTCTCCAGGAGCCTCACTGTCCCTAGAACTGGGGTCACTTCTCCAGGGAGCCTCACGGGGACAACAACCGCCCCTCACCTCCCATTCTGCACCCCCACTATTGCCATGGAAACCAGTCACCTTAGCCTGGTGCACGGGTGGGTAATTCTGTCTACCCCACTGTGGAGACTGTGGTGGGAGGAGTGAGGGGCAGGGGGTCCCTGGAGACCGAGGCTTATGGCTCCCACTTCCCACAGCACTACACCAAGGACAAGGGGGCCATCTGCACCAAGCTGGTGAAGCCCAAGAGGAAACAGGGTGCCAAGTCAGCCGAGGAGGAGCTTGCAAAGGGTATGGCAGTCACCCAGGAGAGATCTTCTCATATGCACCAGCCCAGGCGCAACCTCAGCCTCCCACCTCTCAGCCTCAATCGCTCATCCTTAAGCCCCTGCTGTGGCTTGGTTAAACCCTAGTCTTCCAAGCCTGGCTGTCACATGTTTTCTGTGGGGCCTGGAGTCCCAGACAAACTCAGGACAGAGCGAGGTGTCTATCCTGCTAGACTCTTCAGAGCTGGGGACTGGAGAGCTTTGCGGGGAAGGAGGGGGCCTTTCAGAAGTAGGGTGTGTATAGAGTGCAAAAGCCTGTCAGAGACAAGATCAGGAATATTCCAGAACCCGTGTCCCCCCCAGAGACTTTGGAGGGGCCCAGGCAGCCACAGCCCCTATCCCTGAGGGAGGTCCTGAAGCCACAGCTGAAGTCGGGGGAACCCGGTGGGACTGAATCCTGATGACCTTGTGGACTGACTGTGGCTTGCAGGATTGTAACTGGCACCGGGGGTGGGGTGTCCGCCATACAGCCTTGGGGCAGCCGCTGGGTGGGCACATGCGTAGCTCTGGGGGTGTTAGCACTCCACAGCTCACTGGACGCAAGCGGGCTGTGGCTCTGACCTGGTCTCTCTGCCCCTGCAGCTGGCTGGCTACTCGATCTGCAGCACCTGACTCTGGGAGCACAGATTGGAGAAGGGGAGTTCGGAGGTGAGGAGGGGGCGCAGAAGGCAATGCCGGCACCTCCCAGGCTGGACAGGTGGCTGGGCGCAGCCCCGCCCTCATCGCCTAGGAGCTCTGCTCAGAAAGCCAGGATTTAGACCAGAGGACAGTGAACACGCGCCGTCACCATGCCTTGTCCATCCGAGCGGCTGGAAACTATGCAAACATGGGCAGGACCTGTGGGCTTCTTCATGGAACAGAAATTTGAATTCTGAATAATGAGACAGCCATTGTATTTGCATTATTTCTCTTTTGGGGACTGGGAATGGACCAAGGCCACGCCCCCAGGCCATCACTGGGGATTCTAGGCGGGGCTCCACCCTGACCACGCCCCCAGGCTCTCACTGGGGGATTCTAGGCAGGGCTGTCAGCAGGTCTGTCTGTCTTGCTGGTGGGTCCTGAGCTCTATCCCCCCCCCCCCCACAGCCGTCCTGCAGGGTGAGTACCTGGGGCAGAAGGTGGCCGTGAAGAATATCAAGTGTGACGTCACAGCCCAGGCCTTCCTGGATGAGACAGCTGTGATGACGTGAGTGGCCGGGTGGGGCTGGGTCCCAGGGTTGGGGTGCCGGTCTGTACTCACTTCCCACCACCCCCACCTCCCGCCCACCCCGCGCCCCCAGAAAGCTGCAGCACAGGAACCTGGTACGGCTCCTAGGCGTGATCCTGCACCACGGCTTGTACATTGTCATGGAGCACGTGAGCAAGGTGTGTGGGGTGGCAGATGGGTGGATGGGTGGGGTGGCCCAACAGCCTGGAGACCCCCAGGTCCCTCCCCCCCAAACAGGGCAACCTGGTGAACTTCCTGCGCACGCGGGGCCGCGCCCTCGTGGGCACATCTCAGCTCCTGCAGTTTTCCCTGTAAGTGACATTCCTTCTGGGAAGGTAGGTCCTGAAGTCGAATGGGAAACTGAGGCCTGAGTGCAGGGTGACTGGGCCTTGTCTGTCCCTAGACATGTTGCTGAAGGCATGGAGTACCTGGAAGGCAAGAAGCTGGTACACCGGGACCTGGCTGCTCGCAACATCCTGGTCTCTGAGGACCTGGTGGCCAAAGTCAGTGACTTTGGCCTAGCCAAGGCTGAGCGGAAGGGACTGGACTCCAGCCGGCTGCCAGTCAAGTGGTCAGCACCCGAGGCTCTCAAGAATGGGGTGAGCAGTGTTCCACCCCTGAGGTTTTGGGGTTCCTCAGAGGGAGCTTGATGTTGTGACTGCTTTGTGACCCTATGCACATCCCTCGACCTCTCTGAGCTTCAAGGGGAAATGCCCAGGGCTCAGGGCAGCCCTTCTGGCATGGACTTAGTTAGCATGGAGGGGAGAGTAACCTAGGAGCATGTCCAGAGAGGCCGCGGGGCTCCTGCTCACCCTGACCTCTGCCCCCACAGCGGTTTTCCAGCAAATCGGACGTCTGGAGTTTTGGGGTGCTGCTGTGGGAAGTTTTCTCGTATGGAAGAGCTCCGTACCCCAAAATGGTGAGCAGCGCCCTGGGAAGGGGTGCCCTGTGCATCCTATGTTGCTGACCTCCCACCCACGCTCCACGCTCTGTGTCTGCAGTCGCTGAAGGAGGTCTCAGAGGCCGTGGAGAAGGGTTACCGCATGGAGCCCCCCGACGGCTGCCCAGCCTCTGTGCACACCCTCATGGGCAGCTGCTGGGAGGCCGAGCCTGCACGCAGACCTCCCTTCCGCAAAATAGCAGAGAAGCTGGGCCGCGAGCTCCGCAGCGCGGGCACCGCAGCTCCCATTGCAGGACAGGAAGTTGAGGGTTCAGCTCCCCCACGGAGCCAGGATCCCTGACCCTGAAACAGGGAGCAAAAGGACACAGGTTCATGGTCACGGCACCAGGATGGGCCAGTGCGCAGGCTCCCAAGTCCCTGAACCCCCAATAAAGAGTGATCGGAAGGATTGGTACATTTGTGTCTCTGTGAAGCCCATGTCTGCCCCCACCCTCGGGCTCCCTGCACTCGGCTGTGGCAGGCCTCACCTGCCCCCACTGTCCTGAGTCCACACAATTATTGATGCCTGTGCTGTTGCCCCAAGTCCTTGCCTACTCTACCTTGCCCCTGCCAGCCTGTGAGGCCTCTGGGGAATAGGCGGGCTGGGGATCTGCTTGTCATCAGCCCCCAGGGCCTTGCCTCCTTCATCCTCTCTTATCTTAAGTGGCCCCAGGGGCATCTGCTGGGATGGGAGCCTGAGTCACTGCAGGCTCAGGAGGTGCTACAGAAGAGAGCCTAAAGGCCCCATGTAGCAGCACTAAGTTGAGGCGTTCAGATCACATCCCATCTCACGGTGTGGGGTGAATGAGGGGTGTCCATGTCACAAAAGGGACAGGTACCAGGACAGCAAGTCTCTTGCCCGTAGAGAAGGTAGAGGGTGCAGAGGGGACCCAGACTTTCTGGATCCAAGGCCAAGGTGGTTTTCTTCCATGGAATTTCAGACATCAAAGTAGAGCCAAGCTGGGGGTCAAAGGCTGTGTCAGTAACATTGAGAGTGTAGCAGACAGGACGCTGTCTACCTTCACATCCCAACTACCAACAAGGCCCATGGCTCACACAACCATCCACTCCCCACCTTCCAGACCACCCTGCATCTCTCCGCCTCTCCACTCTTCCGCTCCTCCATTCACAAAGCCATCCTCCCCACCCCAGTCCACCCCACCCCCTGCTGGCCCGTTCACAGGTGTGCACATACCACATGCTGTGCTGACACCAAGCACTCAAGAAGACACAAGATTTCCCTCTTAACTACGGAGAGCTGGGGAACTCACTCTGGCCCATGCTGGTGTTGCCATGCCAACAGAATGGCAAACACTGACCAAGGGGAAGGAGGAGGTCCAGGTGCTCCAGGCAGAGAGCACAGCCAGGCTGTGCCCCCAGTGGAGGAGTGCTGGAGTCCATGTGGCTGCTGCCGAGAGGAGGAAGGAGGCAGGTGGGGAAATCAGGGGCACCAGCCTGGCTCTACTCTAAGTTTGCCACAAGGCGTTTGGGGTAAGATGGCTGTTGCCAAGAAAGGCTCCATAGACTCCTACTGCATAGGCAGGGCCTCACACCCCTCCAGTGAGGCACAGGAGGACAGCAGAACCACGCGACTGGTCCCGGGGAGCAGGCCCTGTCACCTTGGTGTCTCTTTCCCCGCACACAATCTCACCCATTCTCGTAGTTCATAGCTCAGCTGGACAGAGAGCTGCCTGGGAACTGAGGGGAACTTGGGCCACATGACGTTGGCAAAGACAGGTTCAGCTCTGGGGTCCGACGATGGATAAACAAGACCCATCCCAGAAGGAAGGCAACAGCACTCAGCCCTGCGCCTAGCTCCCTTCAGCTGGCCGGGCAGGGGGCCTATGCCGCCCCTCTCCGCCCGGAGGCCCCAGACCAGGCCGAGTCACAGTCCTCGGTGTAGACGCACTTGGGTTTAGCCTTGCCTGAAGGCCTGGAGCCCAGCCCTGGACCAGCCCGCCTGCCCATCAAGGTCTGGAGCTGAGGCGTCCTAGACAGAGCTCATTGCCACAGACACTTGTCAGTCATTTGTTTCCATACCTGTTTATTGGTGTGTGTGTGTGTTTGTGTGTCTGTCTGTCTGTCTGTGTGCATTTGGCCTGCGCTGCCAAGCACACAAGCAGAGGTGGGAGAATTTGCAGGAATCAGTTCTGTCCCTTCCACCATGTGAGTTCTGGGGATTGAACTCGGGTCTTCACGTGGGGCAGTGAGCACTGCTCCCCGCTGAGCCCTCTCGCTGGCCTGGGCCGGGCAGCTTCCTGTGAGATGCTCCATCCTCAAGCTACAGCTTCTTGTTCTTGCTTAGCCGGTTGTGACGCCAGATGTTCTGTTTACGCAGCAGTCGCCAGTACTCACGGGACTCAGGTTCCAGCTCCTCCAGCTTTTTGGGGGGACCCAAGTTCATCTGGAAGAGCCTGCGGAGAGTGTCAAGATTGCATGGCCACCTCACAGTTCTGGGATGTAGGTGGTGTTGAGCTGGGGCTTTGGCTCTTGCCCTGGTCCCCCTCAGTTCCAGCCGCAGGCTCCTGCCACTGCCCCAGAGCAGGCTGTGTCCTGCTCCGGGATCTGCACAGACCACACCTTCCAGCCACTGGACCCTGGCTCTGTGTGGAAACTCAAAATCTGGTTGATAGCCCAGGCTGCACCCGCAGTCCCTGTCTCTCCCAGTGTCCTGGGAAAGTGGCCCCACCACACGGGCCCATGCAGCTAACTGGTCTGGTCCCCAGCTCACTCCAGGAGATACCAGGGTCTGGACAGCCAGGAATAGACAGCCTTAAATCTCTGTCAAGGAAAACAAAGCCCCCACCTGCCCCTCTGCCCTCAGGGACACACGGTCCTGTGCACCAGCTCCCCATTTGTAAGCGGGAGTACCAGGGCTTGGCATCCAGAAGCCAAGGTGGACCAGGGTGGGTGGGTGCCCCTGCAGGCCAGGTGGCCATCTACACTCACCACTCGGGGTACTCGGAGTCTGGCTTCAGGGCCACGTCCTGGCCTTCCTTGTAGATGTTCACCCCCATGGCGTGTGTGGTCAGCAGGGCGGGGTCTGTGCACACCTCAGGGTCCTTCAGGGCCTCAGTGGCCACGCTGCCCTTGGCACCTTTGCTGCCCTTCATGACTGCAGAGAGTGAGCTCAGGTCACTCTAGGCTGCCCAGCCCTGCCCCCATGCCTCCCTCTGTGAGGCCTCCTGGCTTTGGCAACTCCGGACACCCCCAGGTATAACAGGGTCTCCAGTCCCCTGGCCCGAGGCTGTGTGGCCTGATCACTCAGCCCCTCTTCCTTTCAGTGATGGGGACAGGACAGTATGTGTCTATTACCCGATGCCCAGAGGTCTCAGCTGAGGCTGGGGGACCATAAGACCCTGTCTCAGAAAAAATAAAAAAGTAAGGCTAGCGAGATGGCTCAGCGGCTCTACGCCAGCGTGGCACATATGACTACCTGTGCCAAAAACAAACTAACAAACAAAACTTATTTATATTTTGAGACAAGATATCATTATACAGCTCTCCTGGAACATCAAAAAAGTTTTTTGTTGTTGTTTTTTGTTTGTTTGTTTTTGAAGACAGGGTTTCTCTAGGTAGCCCTGGCTGTTCTGGAACTCACTCTGTAGACCAGGTTGGCCTCAAACTCACAGAGATCCACCTGTCTCTGTCTCCTGAGTTCTGGGATTAAAAGTGTGCGCCACCACTTCCCGGCAGAAAAATAAAACATTTAAAAATATATTCTATTGGGCTGGAGAGATGGCTCAGTGGTTAAGAGCATTGCCTGCTCTTTCAAAGGTCCTGAGTTCAATTCCCAGCAACCACATGGTGGCTCACAACCATCTGTAATGAGGTCTGATGCCCTCTTCTGGCCTGCAGACATACACACAGACAGAATATTGTATGCATAATAAATAGATATTTAAAAAAATATATTCTATTGAGATGTGGTCTTCCTGGAATGCCTGTAACCCACAGAAACCCCTCTGCCTCTCCGTCCTGAGTGAGGGAATTAAAGGTATTGGCCATCATGTTCAGCCTCAAAACGTAATTTTTAAGTATTATCACGCGTGGGGGGCACAGTAGCGCATTTGTGCAGTCGGCCATCTCCTTCCACGTTTACGTGGGTTCTGAGGATCGAACTCAGGCTGCGGGCTTCCCGGAAGGCGCTTTCACACATTGAAATCTGGTGCCCCTTCTGGTGTGTAGATGTGCAGGCAGAACGGTGTAAACATAATAAATAAATCTTAAAAAAAAAACCAGCAATAACTCAATTTCTGCGGGTGGGTTTGGTATTACAGGCGCCCTGCAGCGGTCGGCGCCTCTGGCCTCCCCCTGCCCTGCGCAATAGCAGTTCCCGGAGCCCCGCCTCCCACAGCAGCGCGCCTGCGCACTACGTACTCTCCTGGCCTCCCACCGTGCCCACGTTGGTTCCTCCGGAGGCGCCTCACCTGGCTTCTTGGCGTAGTCCCGGACGGAGAGCGTTCCAGGTCCTCCGGGCACCGGGAGAGCCCGGAGCCGACAGCCGGCCCACATCTGGGAAGCCCCGAGGAGACGGGTGGCCGCCATAATGCTTGCCGGCTTGCACGTGCATGCTTCCGGGCTACGTCACGCTCCGGGGCCGCTTTAGGGCGTCGGCGGCGCCCGCGGCCTTCTGGGTAATGTAGTCGTAGCATTGGGCGGCTAGTGACTAGTTTGAACTCATGTAGTTATCACCCGTTCAAAGAATATTTCAAGAAATTCTTGTCTTTAGAGCCTCATCTACTTAAAATGTCACATTAAGTTTGTGCTTGTAGTCTGTGTGGGATTTTTGAAAGTTTAAGAACAAGCCGGGCAGTGGTGGTGCACTCTAATCCCAGCGCTCAGGAGGCAGAGGCAGGCAGATCTCTGTGAGTTCGAGGCCAGCCTGGGCCACAGAGTGAGTTCCCGGATAGCCAGGGCTGTTACACTGAGAAACCCTGTCTCCAAAAACAAAAACAAACAAAACAAAACAACAACAACAAAAAAAAAAACCCAAAACCAAAACCCAGTCTGTTGCCGTGGGAGATGGTGTAATGATCTGTTGTCTCATTAAGAGACAAGCCACGCCCACCTCCCCCTCCACCCCTGTCTGCTGAGGCAGGCAGATCTTCCTGTTTGCAGCCTGAGCCTCTTCCTTTTCTGTCTCCCTCTCGAAGAGGCAGCTATGTCTCTCCCTTCTCTCTCTCTCGCTTCTCTCTGCCTCTCTGCTCTCCTCCTCTTCTTTATAGTCCACTAAATAAATATGGAACTCACTCTGCACTGTCCATGGCTCTGTCTCTCACCCGCCGCCGCGTCTCCCTGCCTGGCACCAGCCACCTGCGGAGACCTGCGGCATGGTCTCATGGCCAGCTGCCTGCTGCAGCCACTCGGACACCTGCAGCTTTTTTATTTAATCCATTACAGAGACAGGAGAATCAGGATCAGGGTAGCTCTCTGCTCCGCATCAAGTTTGAGGTCAGCCTGGGCTATGTGGCACCTTGGCTTAGACATAAGGTGGCCAAGTGTGGTGTGTGCCACCTTAATTCCAGCATGTGGGAGGTAGTGGGGGGGGGTGTGGGACCCAGCCATGACAAGCTCAATAGAGGCCTGAGTTCCAGTAGTTTACCCTGGTTCCGATACAGACCACAAACTGAGACCACCCAGGCCCCACCCAGAAACAGACCATCCGAAGGAATTCCCAATGTTCCAACCGCTGTAGATAGGCTCTCCTGCCAGCACACAGCCATCGCTTTTCACCAGGACACCCCTAGACAAATGTCATCCAGTCAGAGGCTCTGAACCTCAGAAACCCCTCACCCCCACCTTTACTACTATAAAACCCAACTCTAACTGAGCCCTGGGCTCTCAGGTCACTCCAATACGCTGGACACATGGAGAAACCGAGTTGCAAACTAGTGTAAGAGTAAAGGCTCTGTGCTTTTACACGCAGGACTCGGTCTTCTACTTGGTGTTGGGGGGACCCCATGATCTGGGCATAGCAGGTGCATCCCTGTGAGTTCTAAGCCAGCCTGGTCTACATAGCGAATTCTAGACCAGCCTGGGCTACATAATCAGGCCTGTAATAAAGAAGAAAGTGGAGGTGGTGACCAGGGCTCAGTCGAAGTCCTTTGTTCCAGGCTGACAGTACTTGACAGAGGCAGGAGGATCAGGAGTTTGAGGTCAGGCTAGGTTACATGAGACTATATCTCAAGAAGAAATAGACTCATTAGTACACCCTAACCCGCTGCCCTCTTACAGTCAAGCTTAGGGACTGTTATTGTGGACCATGGTGTGAGCTCCAGTGTCAGTTAGAATCTAGGTTGCGAAGTTATGTGTCACTCCTGGGACCCAAACCGGAAGTTGGTCCTCACCAACTCCTGCCCACAATTTTCTTCTCTCCCCAGATCTTCATGTTCACTTTTCTAGTTCCCTGCCGTGTCTCTTCCCTGTCCCACCTCGGTTGTTTGCACCTGGGAGTGATGCGGAACCCCATTTCAGAGAAAAAGCCAGTTTGCCTGGAGTCTTGGGATTTGAACCCGTGCTACTCTATTATTAACTCTACAACCCCACTGTGCGTCTGTCTGCCGAGATCGCATGTAAGGACTACATTTCCCAACAGGCAGCGTGAGGCTGCGCGTGCGCAATATTCCTGGGAGGTGCACAGCTTGAAGATCCGGATCCAAAGCTGGGATCCCAGAGAGCTGCTGAGTCTCCAGCAAGGACGGGCGAACCTGGTCATCCCGGGCCGGAGGCACAGGTACTGCGCCCGCGCGGGACCAGACGGGGCGACCCGAGGCCAGTGTCTGAGATTTAGGACCGGAGCCTGAGATCTGAGGGTCAGTGCCTGAGTTCTGGGGGTCAGTGCCTGAGTTCTGGGGACCGGAGCCTGAGTTCTGATGGTCAGTGCCGGAGTTCTGGGGGGTCAGTGCCTGAGTTCTGATGGTCAGTGTCTGAGCTCTGAGGTTCAGTGCCTGAGTTCTGGGGGCCGGACCCTAAGTTCTGAGGGCTGGAGCCTGAGTTCTGAGGGTCAGTACCTGAGTTTGAGGGTCAGTGCTTGAGTTCTGGGGGTCAGTGCTTGAGTTCTGGGGACTGAAGTCTGAGTTCTGGGGGTCAGTGCCGGAGTTCTGGGGATCAGTGCCTGAGTTCTGAGGGTCAGTGCCTGAGTTCTGGGGACCGGAGCCTGAATTCTGGGGGCTGCAGCCTGAGTTCTGGGGATCAGTGCCTGAGTTCTGGGGGTCAGTGCCTGAGTTTTGGGGATAAGTGCCTGAGTTCTGGGGGTCAGTGCCTGAGTTCTGGGGGCCACAGCCTGAGTTCTGGGGATCAGTGCCTGAGTTCTGGGATCAGTGCCTGAGTTCTGAGGGTCAGTGCCTGAGTTCTGGGGGCCGGACCCTAAGTTCTGAGGGCTGGAGCCTGAGTTCTGGGGGCCGGAGCCTGAGTTCTGAGGGCCGGACCCTGAGTTCTGGGGATCAGTGCCTGAGTTCTGAGGGTCAGTACCTGAGTTTGAGGGTCAGTGCTTGAGTTCTGGGGGTCAGTGCTTGAGTTCTGGGGACTGAAGTCTGAGTTCTGGGGGTCAGTGCCGGAGTTCTGGGGATCAGTGCCTGAGTTCTGAGGGTCAGTGCCTGAGTTCTGGGGACCGGAGCCTGAATTCTGGGGGCTGCAGCCTGAGTTCTGGGGATCAGTGCCTGAGTTCTGGGGGTCAGTGCCTGAGTTCTGGGGATAAGTGCCTGAGTTCTGGGGCTCAGTGCCTGAGTTCTGGGGGCCACAGCCTGAGTTCTGGGGATCAGTGCCTGAGTTCTGGGATCAGTGCCTGAGTTCTGGGGGCCGGATCCAGAGTTTTAGGGGTCAGTGCCTGAGTTCTGGGGGCCGCAGCCTGAGTTCTGGGGGGTCAGTGCCCGAGTTCTGAGGGTCAGTGCCTGAGTTTGAGGGTCAGTGCTTGAGTTCTGGGGGTCAGTGCTTGAGTTCTGGGGACCGGAGCCTGAGTTCTTGGGGTCAGTGCCTGAGTTCTGGGGGCCGCAGCCTGAGTTCTGGGGGCTGCAGCCTGAGTTCTGAGGGTCAGTGCCTGAGTTCTGGGGGCTGCAGCCTGAGTTCTGAGGGTCAGTGCCTGAGTTCTGGGGACCGCAGCCTGAGTTCTGAGGGTCAGTGCTTGAGTTCTGGGGACCGGAGCCTGAGTTCTGAGGGTCAGTGCCGGAGTTCTGGGGGTCAGTGCCGGAGTTCTTGGGGTCAGTGCCTGAGTTCTGGGGGCTGCAGCCTGAGTTCTGAGGACTGCAGCCCGAGTTCTGAGGACTGCAGCCTGAGTTCTGAGGGTCAGTGCCTGAGTTCTGGGGGCTGCAGCCTGAGTTCTGAGGGTCAGTGCCTGAGTTCTTGGTTGGCTCCTGTGTGAAAAGGGGACTTCTTTCCTGTGCAGGCCTCATGGGGACCGAGGCTGTCACCTGTTGGATCGTGGCTTTCCTAAGAGATTTCACCTAGCACCATTGTTCTTCAGCCTGGTGACGAAGCCAGCCTGAACCTGGGTTCCAGACATGGAGTTTCTAGACCCCCAGGACCCCCTAGGGCTCCCAGCCATGGACTTGGAGGAGCCAAAAGGCCCCAAGGTGCCCCCTGAGGACCACCCCTCCAGTACCCAGTGGGCCTCGGGACCCAGAGGACCTGCCTCCCTGAGCGAGATGGAGCTGGATGCATCTGGTGTCCAGGTGCTGGTCCAGCAGCTGGAAGCTCTGCCTGGTGACTTGGGTGGCCCGTTCCCAGATGGAGAGCCTTGTCCCCTGCACATTGCCACTGGCCAAGGCCTGGCCACCCAGGACAGCACAGACGCTGGTGGGCTCTTGTCTGCCGACGCAGGCGGGGATGACCTTCTGGGTCTGCTGAGGTGTGAGACATCTCTGCCTGCCCAACCGGGACCCCCAGATCCTCCACCGACCACACCCCGTTTGCTGCAGCCGCCTGAAGAGCCAGAGGGGGACCCAGGATCCCCGGGGTGGATGGAGGGCGTGTCGGCAGAGCCAGCAGACAGCAGGAGTTCCAGCAGCTCCCCAGAGCCCTGGCTGGAGACAGTGCCCCTGGTGACACAGCAAGAGCCACCTCTGGGTGCCCAGGTAACACCCCGACCCATGAATCCTGACCTCGGCCTACAGGGCAGCCCGGGGACCCAGGCCTGTTCCTCTTCTATCTTCCAGAGCCCTGAGACCCTGGCCTCATGCCCTGCTGTCTCAGAGGGTAAGTGACCCTTCTTACACAGGACCAGAATGTTCTAGAACAGCCCACAACCAGCCTTCCAAACTTGACATGTTTGCCGTGAGGATGCAGGGTTAGAGAGGATGGCTAGAGATGAGATATAGGATGAAAAGTACCCTAGAAACCACTGTCCACAAGGCCAGCTCCAGACTGCTGGGGGAGGGTGCTCCTAGGACCTAAAGATGACATTTACAGGGCTTTTTTGTTTGTTTTGTTTTTATTTTTCGAGACAGGGTTTCTCTGTAGCTTTGGAGCCTGTCCTGGAACTAGCTCTTGTAGAACAGGCTGGCCTCAAACTCACTGAGATCTGCCTGCCTCTGCCTCCCGAGTGCTGGGATTGAAGGCGTGCGCCACCACCATTTGGCAAGGCATTTATAGTTTTGTGCGAATTTTTGAGGGCTGGGAGACACCTAAGTGGACACGACACGCCAGCATGAGGACCTGGGTTCGAATCTGGGGAGGTATCTAAGTGGACACGGCACACCAGCATGAGGATCTGGGTTCGAATCCTCATTGCCCACTCAAGGAGTCCATGTGGTCCTGCATCACAGAAGATTCTAGGACTGTGGTTAATGCTATGATTTATCTCAGGAGTGTCCAAGCTGATGGTTTTGCCCAGTTTTGCATAGGCCTGAACGTTCTAAAGCCACAGAAAGAACAGGGTTCTACGTCAGCTTCAGGGTGACCTAGAAGTTTCAGATGAGCATCTGGGCATGCTGGCACCCACCTGACTCCAGCACACAGGAAGCTGGGATGGAAGGCAGGTTCCATACTGGCCTGAGCTGCATAGGCCCAGGGCTAAAGAAAGGTTAAAAACCAAAGTGGTCTGGAATTGAGGAAGGGTCTGTCAGCATAGCAGCTCAGATGGAAAGGGATCCTGGCACTCAGGAGCCGAGAAAGACTAGGGTGGAAGAGTGTTCTGGCTGCCAGGGGCAGAGAATAGCGCGGATCTCAACGGTGTAGCAGTTTACAGGGTCTGGGCGAAATTGCCTGAGGGCTGTCAAGGACCTGGGCTTTGAGATGCTGTGGATTTTCTGGGCTGTCTGGAGAGAATTGTAGGTCACTATGGAAAATGGCCATGAAGCCAGGTGGTGGTGGTGCACACCTTTAATCCCAGCACTGGGGAGGCAGAGGCAGGTGGCTCTCTGTGAGTTCAAGGCCAGCCTGGTCTACAAGAGCTAGTTCCAGGACAGGCTCCAAAACCACAGAGAAACCCTGTCTAGAAAAAAAGAAAAGAAAAAAAGAAAATGGAAATGATCTTGATCCTCTTTCTTTTTTTCTTTTTTGCATTTATTTATTGCTATGACAAAGAAGGGGCTTGGAGGATGGCATGTGGGAGGCAGTTCTCACCGCCATCGTGTGGAGTCCCAGGGGTCGACCTTAGGGTCATGCTTGGCTGCAGAGTGCCCTGTACCCCACTGAGACACCTTGCTGGCCCCTGCCTAATTCTGGAATGTTAGGGGTTTGAGACACCACAGTGAGGCCATTGGCTTTCAGCCCGGTCAGAAGATTAGTCTAGAAGAGGGGTCCGTGAGCTCCAGGTCCTGCTGAGGGTGATGCTTTCCAGGAGTTCTGGGAGCAGCAGGTACACAGCTGGCTAGCCGACACTGGAGCTGGAGCCCTGTGGATCCTTCTGGAACAGGCGATGGAGCACTGCGGGTCTAGCCTATCCTAATCCCCGGGACGGGACGGGCCTGAAGGTGCCCCTCGCTGTCACCACAGTTCCAGGTCCCTGTGGACACGAGGAGCTCGTGGACGGTGTTATCTTCACTGCGAAATATCTGGGCTCCACCCAGCTGCTGTCGGAGCGCAGCCCGCCGCCCAGCACGCGCATGGCACAGGCGCAGGAGGCTGTGGACCGCGTCAAGGTGAGCCAGGGTGGAGTTGCTGGGGCTGCATGGCGTGGTGACCTGGATGGCCACCAATCCCTGTGTCCCACCCCCCTCCACACAGGCCCCCGAAGGTGAGACCCAACCGATGGCAGAGGTGGACATCTTTATCTCCACCAAGAGGGTCAAGGTGCTGGCCGCCTACTCACAGGTACCCAGAGGGCCAGGCTTTGGCTGTGGTGGACTCTCGGGAATCTCCAGAGGTCCCCAGCCCATTCATCACGTGTCCACAGGACGCCCTGATGGACCACGCCCTGCAGACCATCTCCTACATTGCAGACATCGGGCCTGTGCTGGTCGTGATGGCCCGGAGACGGATGGCCAGGAGGACCACTCCCCAGGACCGCAGTCGGCGTCTCTACAAGATGCTGTGCCATGTCTTCCATTCGGAGGATGTAAGCAGCCGAGCCCTGGCCCCTCCTTGAGCCTGACTCAGAAACTGTGAGGTTTCTTGAAGGTGTGGGCCTTGGAACTGGGGCTTTGTAGGGTGTGAAGGAGCTTTCTGTCCTCCCAACAGGCCCAGCTTATCGCCCAGGCCATCGGCCAGGCCTTCAGCATTGCCTACAGCCAGTTCCTGCAGGAGAATGGGATCGACCCCAGCCAAGTGGGCACGCGGCCCTCGGATGCTGCCAGCCACCCGCACAATGGCGACCTGGACCACTTCTGCAACAGCCAGAACTGCAGGGAGGTGAGCAAGGGCTCGGGCCCCGCCCAGGCAAGCCCTCCACCCCGCCCCCAAATCCTGGCCCCGCCCCTGTCCTACAAAGGGCCCTCGCTAGCCCACGCGGCCCCGCCCCCAGGTCTGTATCCAGAAGAGGCCTGGAGAGGCCCTGGGCGTCGCCCTGGTTGAGTCCGGCTGGGGCTCACTGCTGCCCACCGCTGTCATCGCCAACCTGCTTCACGGGGGCCCTGCCGAGCGCTCCGGGGCTCTCAGCATCGGGGACCGTGTCACCGCCATCAACGGGACCAGCCTGGTGGGGCTGTCCCTGGCCGCCTGCCAGGCAGCCGTGCGTGTGAGTCGCTGTTCCGCGGGGACCGGGCCCCAGGGGTGCCACTGATCACAGCCCCACGCCCCCGGGGCATAAGCGGGTGGGTAGACTGAGGCCTGCGGAGGCCTAAACGGCACGGTGGGTCCCTCAGGAGGTGCGGCGACACTCGTCAGTGACACTGAGTATCATCCACTGCCCTCCGGTCACCACGGCCGTCATCCGGCGGCCCCATGTGCGCGAGCAACTGGGCTTCTGCGTGGAGGACGGCATCGTGAGGCCGGGACCTCCGGGCCGGGTGTGGGGTGGAGGCTAGCCCACAGCCCAGGGACGGGTCCTGAGCGCCGTGTCTCCCCCCAGATCTGCAGTCTGCTGCGTGGGGGTGCGGCTGAGCGCGGGGGTGTCCGCGTGGGACACCGCATTATCGAGGTCAACGGGCAGAGTGTGGTGGCCATGCCCCATGCGCGCATCATCCAGCTGCTCACCGAGGCGCGGGAGGTGCGAGAGGGGACATCACTCGACCTCAAAGCCTGTCACCCCTGCCCCTCACCCTGTCACCCCCACCTCACCTCTGCGCCATCGCCCGGACCTCACCTCTAACTCATCACCCCTGACCCTTAGATTCACATCAAGACGATGCCAGCTGCCACCTACCGGCTGCTCACGGGGCAGGAACAGCCGGTGTACCTGTGATCGCCCCGCCCACGCGTGCCTTCGTTCCGGCCACCACTTCTGTCGGCCCACGGGGACCCCAGAATCCTCAGCCTTATATTACTTTCTAATGTTAAAGAAAATTAAAGGTTTATTAATTGGTCAGAGGCTCTGGGTCCTACAAGGGAAACTGAGGCTCCAGGGAGCAGGAGGCAGGGCTTGTGACCTCTCAGGTCACAGGTCACAGGTCGGTGGCTGGGCCCCAGTCGTAGGCGTCATCATCGGAGGACTCAACATCCCGGGCTCTTGTGAACTTCCTCCTTAGAGCTTCGCGCTCGTAGGTCCTGGGGGCGGAAGTGGGTGCAGGGCGGCGGTGGGGAGGGGGTGAGGGTGCGTGGTGAGGAGGAGGTGGGGATGCACAACGTGACCTTGTCCCACCGACCCCACCAGGCAGGGCCCTATATTTAACTGTGGGCTGGAATTTGCAAGCAAACTCCTACACATCCTGAGAAGCCACAGCCCCAATGCCCTTCCTTATCCCTTTATCCCTGAGGACTCTGTCCTCAAGTCCTGACTGGGTGGGGTGCGGAGTGGCTCTGCGTCCCTCAAGGGCACTTACCGCATGCTGTCCTCGCGCCACTGGCCCTGGGGATGGCGACTGCCAGCCTAGAGGGAAGAGAAAGGCCATGACCCGCTGACATGCGCAGAGGGGGTTAGGGGGTGACCAGGCGCAAGGGAGGGTCCCACTCCCCCACCGCGCTGGGCTGTGCCCACCTGCGTCTCAAACTCGGCAGTGATCCCCCCGTGACCCCTCAGCCCCTCTTGGTCTTCCACCCATGCAGGCTCCGAAGACCGGGCCAGAGCGGGGACCAGGGGCTCCTCATCGGCGTCCTGGGGCCCGCTGCCCTCGCCGTCTGTGTAGGCGCCGTCCGTGTCCTCGTAGTCGCTGTTGGCCCGACTGTCACAGCTGAGGTCCCCGGAGCTGGTATCCAGGCCGCGGCCCGGCAGATCAAGGTCCTCGGATGAGCCGTCCAGCTGTGGGGAACAGGATGCTGTGACCCTGAATGCCAGCCTCCACTACCCCATGCCCGGCCATGACGTCTGATGGGTGCCTTTGCAGGGGTTCAGCTCTGGACAACTTCTATGCATCCTACAAAGTCCCGGATCCAAAGTCCAGCCCTAAGGGCAGAAGCTTGCTCAAGCAAAATCTTGGTTACTGTGTACTAGGAAGCCACAACCTGGTTACTTATGAGGTTCACCCAGCTATGCCCTCCTTTCTCCGCACCCCGCACCTGGTCTTCCGCAGTCCAGATAGGCCGCGTCTGCTGCTGCTGCACCACGGCCTTGATCTCCTGGTACCAGGAGTCATTGGTACCGTGCAGGGGGACGGTGGCTGCGAAGACAAGGGCAGACGTCACCCTGGCGCCTCCTCTACACGCTCCCCCCTCCCCTGCGCGTACTGCCCTCTCCACCCCTCCTGCACCTGTGAAGAGGTGCCCGCTGTGTTTCTGGAGCTTCTGTGCCTGCGCATATAGGCGGCGGCTGCTGCGGCGGGAGGCTGGGGCCAGCCACTCCCGCAGAGCCTTCAGGGCTGGGCGGCTTTCGGGGACGCAGAAGATCACGATGGGGTAGTATTGCACGTAGTTGAGGCGCTCGATGGCTGAGGGGGTGACGTCCAGGAGCGCGTGCCTGTCCTGGGTCACGGGCGGGGTAAGGGACAGGTGAGAGATCCGCTGTGGCTGGGAACCCGGATCCACAAGTGTACGGCTCCGGGTATTCGAACTCGGGTCCTCAGCCTCCAGAGAGCGGGCTCAGGGGTGTGGACCTGAGACCCGCGTCCAGCAGGAGCCCGCAGCGCACCGCTGCCCCAGAGGGGATCCCTCCGTGCCCATGCGGGGCCTCAGGTTCCCCATGTCCGTGCTTACCCTCTCGGCGATCACCCGCACCGTGTCCAGTTTGATGATCTTGGATGGGTTGTCAGTCCGGGACACGCTTTCTGAGGAGGCAGGGGACCAGGCTGATGTCATCCACTGTGTCCCCCACCGCAGTTTGCACACCAACCCCAGCCCCTTTCCCACCCTCCCACTTCCTGTGCCTCCGGGAAGGAGGACCTCACCCCACCACCCATGGGGCTTCCTTTCTTTTTCCTGGCTGAGTAATAGTCCACCTTGTACTTGTCTGGGGCCTGACTTTCTGTCCTTCCGCACATCAATCCCAGTGATTGTATTTCCTGATGACTAATGGGGTTGCAGATGACTTTGCCCTTTGAATGCCACCCAGCCTCCTCCAGGGGCCTCCTCTCTGAGCAGCCTGAAATCTGTCCTATCTGGTTCTCTGTGTGAGGAGCCCTCTAAGACTCCCGGCCCCCTAGAGCCACCCCACCTGCTAAACGCTCACTCCTGAGCCACACCCACGGGCCTCGGTTTCCCCTTTTAATATTTTAAAAAATGGAGTTGATGTAGCCCAAGCTGGCCTCTAGCTATGTAGTCAGTGCTGACCCTGGACTCCTGATGACAGGCCCAGTTTATGCTGGGATGGAGACATGATTTGAATACAGAGTTTCATTATGTTGCCCAGGCTGTCCTGAAAACTGCTATCCTCTTGCCTCAGCCTTGAAGCAGCAGGGATCATAGGTGGGATGATGTACTGACATGCTCATAGTTAAAAGTGAAACAGAATTTTAAAAATAAAGAAAAAAAACTGAACAACTCTTCAGCAAATGAGAAGGCGGTGTTTGCCTCGGTTCCCAGAGGCCAACAGACTGCGCCCAGATCAATTGACAATGTCTGGCCCTGGCATTGAGTGCAGTGGTTGGCGTGAGATCGATGCTGTCTGGCCTGGGCATGGGGGTGGGAAGGTGGGAGGGGTGGGAGCTGGCATCGATTGATGCTGTCTGGCCCTGGCACGAATGGGGGAGAGGGTGAGACACCCCCTTCATGGCTGCCCTCATGCCATGTTTTACCTGCAATTTCGAACTGGTCGGGCATCTCTGCTGTCAGCCTCTTCATGGCGATGTCGGCCACCGGTCCCAGGATCACCACCGGGCGCTTAAAGCTGGCTGGGAAGTGGAGAAAGTAGCAAGGTCAGGTTCAGGGTCAGGGTACTCAAGCCAGAAGTCTGGGAAGCTGAGGCAGGAGGATTGCTGCAAGTTCAAGGCGGGCAAACAAAGGAAGTTCTGTTTTGTTTCTGATCTTGGGACTACTAGATGTGGAACAGACTGGCAAGTAACTACAGTCTCACTGTGTCTGGCCCTTGGTTTGATTTTATAAATAAAGTTTTATTGAGATACCACCTATCTGCCTGCCTCTCCCGCTGCGCAGCCAACTGAGTACAGTTGGGCCGAGAGAGTCAAACATGCCTGAGTTTTTTTTTTTTAATTAAGATTTTTAGTAATTTATTTAGACACAAGGTCTTTCTGCGTAGCCCTGGCTGTCCTGGAACTCACTCTGTAGATCAGTCTGGTCTCGAACTCACAGAAATCTCTCTGCCTCAGCTTCCAGAGGGGGGCGGGGTGCACGGTTTGTGCTACCCAACAGAACCGAGGGGAAGGCAGGCAATGGCTTCGAGGCCCTGTGACCTGGGGAGGAGGGTTGCTCCCACGACCACCCACCTTCTCGCAGCACCACGCGTTCGTAGGGCGGGTAGTGTCCCTGCTTGGTCAGCACTGACAGGTCCTCGCGGCTCCGCTGGGTAGTCTTCTTGGTCCCTCGGCGGAGACCCCGGAGCCGCCAGAACTCGGCCCGTGGGTTGGAGGCCAAGGGGGCGCCTGGGCCAACGCCCGCTGCCCGTTGCGCAGCCTCCAAGCTGGCCAGCTGCTCTGCCCTGGGGAACACAGGGGACATAAGGGACAGAACACGGCCTAGAGAGGCAGGACTGAGTTAGGCTGAGGACCCTGAACTGGGGACGTCCGGGGTGGGTCCTTAGAGGAAGGCGGGAAAGGCTGCGCTGCTGATTCTGAAGAGAGGATGGGGCCACAAGCCAAGGGATGTGGGGCCTCTGGATGCTGGTACCCGGGAGGGGTTGGATACTGGGAAGGAACTCTGACTCAGAAATCAATGGATAAATAAGGCCATATCTGTGCTCAGTATACAGTGGCGGCAGCACACACCCCCGCCCACACCACTGTGACTCACTCCAGGGAGCCCGAGGCAATGGGGAAACTGAGGCGGCAGCCTGGGGAGCTCCTCCCACCTGCTCTGATTGGGGATGACTCCACGTTCTTGCTCTCGGAGATCTCTGCCCATGCGGGCAGCCAGCCAGAGGCCCCCACGACCACCGTAGCCAGACCCTGAGCCACGGTACAAAGTGTCCACCACGTGGAAGACGTCACCACGAGTGAAGCCCAGGCCGTAAGGTGGGCTCGGCTCCAGCTCGAAGTGCGTGCGGATGTAGAAGGAGTCACCCACGCGGGACTGGACCATCTTCTTGAAGACTGAGGACAGAGGTGGGGGAGGGTGTCTTCTCGAACTCCTCAAGGGCCCATCCCTCCCTGGGGACCTCGCTTGGGCAGACACAGTGCACTGTCCCTGCGGAGCCTGGAGCTTTGGGTCTTTGTTTTATTTTATTTATTTATTTGTTTATTTTTGGTTTTTTGAGACAGGATTTCTCTGTAGCTTTGGAACCTGTCCTGGAACTAGCTCTTGTAGACCAGGCTGGCCTCGAACTCACAGAGATCCACCTGCCTCTGCCTCCCAAGTGCTGGGATTAAAGGCGTGCGCCACCACCGCCACCCGGCTTTTTTTTCCTCTTAAGATTCATGTATTTCTTATGTATGCAGTGTTCTGCCTGCACCCCAGATCTCATTACAGATCACTGTGGGTTCTGGGCGGGAACTGAACTCAGGACCTCTAAGAAAAGCAGCCGGTGCTGTTAACCACTGAGCCATCTCTCCAGCCCCCTTGGGTTTCTCTGTGTAGCCCTGGCTGTCCTGGAACTCTCTCTGTGGACCAGGCTGGACTCCACTCGCCTGCCTCTGCTTCCCAAGTGCTGGGATCAGAGGTATGTGCCATCATGGTGGTGGGTGGCGGCCAGAGGTTGATGTTGGACTCACCAGCTCTGCCAGGCTGGCCGTGACCCCGGGGATACTCCTGTCTCCACATCCCCATAGCTGGTCCAGGGCTTAGAGTCTGGCTTTTTTTTGTTTGTTTGTTTGAGACATGGTTTCA